GGAGAGAAAGTAATCGAAGCAGAGATACTTCAGACAAAGCAGAAAGAAAAAAAAGTGTTGATCCCTAGAATTATTCTATCCCCTAGAGATTCTGAGCATCCATTCACTATAAGACGGCGGCAGTTTCCAGTTCGAATTTGCTATGCAATGACTATTAATAAAAGTCAAGGACAAACCTTGAACACAGTGGCATTATATTTGCCTAACCCCGTATTCACCCATGGGCAATTATATGTCGCCTTATCAAGAGTCACTTCACCAAAGGGTCTTACAATCCTAGACACAACAAAAAACAACAGAGGGAGAAGATCTGTCACAAACATTGTCTACAAAGAAGCATTCAGAGATCTGCCAACAAGTTCAGGTACGTATTCTGTTAAAAGCAATTTAGTGACCAAATAATCACAAGAAAACAGGTAGAGAATTAAGTTGAAAAGGATGCCGAACAATGTAATATACATGTAATGATTGCATAGGAACTCTTATATAGAGTATTCAACATTTCATGACAAAACGATGTTTCCAAACAAACTAATTCAACATAAACCCAACAGCAACAAACGTATATTACACAAAACTAACAGAATCTTACCATCAATGAACACTATTTTTTCAGGGAGGATTGAGAAAACGAAAATGGCGCAGAGAGGAGAAAGTACTCAGGCAAATGTCTTCCATCTCTCAAATACAGAGTGTCTAAATCGGTCCAGATAGAAAAAAGAGAAGATAAAGGAGAGGTAATAGTGGACATACATCTCAATAAGATATGACTATTAACCAGGATGGTGAAACAAATACATATGTAATGAAAATTTGCAGGAACAAAGACAACCAAAAATAACATCGGAGATAAAAAGAGGAAGCGAGGGACATATTTATAGAGGAGCAAAATACACAAGCTACAGATCAGATGTTCTCGCAATTGTTGTTTAAATTTAGCAAATAAGAGTAACAAAACAAAAAAAACATTTGGACATTTTTTAACGAAACAAACATACATGAATGTAGCGGAAGTAATACCACTATTAATTATTAAGAACCACAAAATCAAAGATGACAACAACAAATTTACAAAACAAATAAAGCATCGTAGAAGAAGAAATTAAAGGAATAACAATTACCGCAATTAAGAATGTGGGTTTGAAAGGGATTTGCGAAGGCTTTTAACAATTACGCAATTAAGAATGTGGGTTTCAAAGGGATTTGCGAAGGAAATGCCACAATATTTACAGACAAACAATGAGTTGCAGCGAGAGATATCTAATTTGGGATATGTAGCAGAAGAAAATTGAACTTCAATTTCGGACGTATTTACCAACAAAATCGGTTCAACTATTTTGGGAATCATGAATATAAAGGGGAAAACAATGAAACCTGTTCTAGACACTTCGACAAATATCACCACTTTTTTTTTTTGGTCAACGATATCACGAACTTGTGTTTACCAAATTAATTAACAATCAACATAAAAACCCCGCGCGCAGCGCGGGAACGACCCCTAGTTTAGATAGTGTCCCACATTTCTAAATTATTTTTAAATAAAATGATACAAACTGTTACAGTATATGGGTACGAAGAACTCTGCTTCTTTGTGATATTGTTGGATTAATGTCTCAAGTTCGTAAACTCTTGGCCAATCTCTTAAAATGGTCGTGTTTGGTGTAAAAGAGGTTCACTCTTTTGATGTTGGACTCCTAAATGAATTTTACTGTCCATATTCTCGATTGGTTGGCTAGCTTTGAACGGGTAGATTAGGATGATGAACTAACAGACAGATGAAAAGATATATTTTGAGAAAGGATCTAACTAAAGACGCGTGATTTCCACTTGCGAAAAATCATTCAAAGGAGATGGAAGTAAATATTCTCTAGAGGAAATATAATATTTCTAGCAAAGAGATATTGAGACGATGAGTCATTTTGTGTTTTTCACGCTTACAAACTTTAACAAGTTTGATTTTATACAATCGTTTTTCCCTACGTAAAAAATCATGTAAGAAGTTAATCCTTGCTTTCAACACATATTGGTGGTTGTAGTTTTCTATATTGGCCACTTTTTTTTCTAAACATTTTAGTTTAAAAGAAGAAAAAAAAGGGTATTAAGATTTTTAGAATTACTAAAAGCACAAAATAGTCATTAAAAATTCATTAAAATATTTCAATCTATAATGAAAACTATTAAAAAAATATGTAAAATAAACATCCACGCGTAGCATGGACCAACACCTAGTAATGTTAAAAAATGCAACTTTTGCCCAAAAAAACTCAGTTAAATGAAATATCTTTAATTTCCGGTTTATATCGGTTCGCCCACTTACCAACTTCAAAGCCCCATTTTGTTCGATAGTAATCGGGCCCAGATTGACCTAATTAAAGTGAGACGGTTCGTTAATGAGCGTTTATTTATTTCAATTTAACCTTAACATAACAACAACCTTTCTTCACTCCACTTTCTTCACGGTCTCTTACTCTCCCTTCCTCTCTCTCTCAAATCGAGAGAGATTTCGCCAGAAATTGTTCGCGCTGTGTTTCTTCTTCGCCATTTTCTTCCCAGGTACGGTTTTCTTCTCACATTTTTTTCTGCGATTCGGTCATCTCTGTGTGGATTGTTTATCATTTCAAAGCTTGAAATTTGAAGTGAGCTGATAGATTTTCGAAAAAAAATATTTAGAAACGAGAACTAGGAGAGGCTCTCTTATTTTACCTGTCAAGATTCCGACAAATGAAGAACAATTTTAGAATGGTGGATGAATTATACGGTCTATTACGTGAATTCAACTTTCAACTTCGTTAAGATTCTTTCGAAATCGTTGTAGTTATATGTTTACTCTTTAATTTTTCCTGTATTTTTTGGGTTATCGATTGGTTTGCATTGCTAGAATCTGAGCTTTTATCATTGGTACAGAAATTGCTCCAAGAGATAATGAGCTCACAAGTCAGGAGAGATCGTCGAGAAAGGTCAAGATTCACTACTCCAAATGCTCAGAAAACATGGGTGCCAAAAGAAACTTCATCTACCTCGGTGGTGGTTAACGAGACTTCTTTTCCTCTGAATACAAATACAAATTCTGGAAGCTTTGATGCTGGACTCCATTCTAATTATCCGAACCAAAGAAGTAGTGTCCTGGGCCCTCCTCCTTTAAGCCGCCAAAGGAGGAATCATGCTGCGAGATCTGTTCCAGAAAACCACCAGAGAGGTCGTTCTAGGGGTCGCTTGGGTCAGACTGTGAATAAGGGAAAAATGCCGAATAAAAACAGGAATGGGGATATAGAGAGTACTGTGTTGACAGACCCAAATCTGCCTCAACTTGTGCAAGAGATACAGGATAAGCTAATGAAGAGCTCTATTGAGTGTATGATTTGTTATGACATGGTTAGACGGTCTGCTAATATCTGGTCTTGCTCCAGTTGTTACTCCATTTTCCATCTGGAATGTATTAAGAAATGGGCCAGAGCACCGACTTCGATTGATTTGCTGGCGGATAAAAATCAAGGTAGTAATTGGAGATGTCCAGGTTGTCAGTCTGTTCAGTTGACATCGTCAAAGGAGATTATGTATCGATGCTTTTGTGGAAAGAGGAAAGACCCACCAAGTGATCCATATCTGACTCCTCACTCTTGTGGAGATCCATGTAGGAAGCCGCTGGAGAAAGAGTTTGCAACAGGTGAGATGGCAAAAGGAAATAATTGTCCTCATGTTTGTGTATTGCAGTGTCATCCTGGTCCATGCCCTCCGTGTAAGGCGTTTGTCCCACCTCGTAGTTGTCCTTGTGGGAAGAAGATGATCTGGACTAGATGCTCTGAACGAAAATCTGATCTTACTTGTGAGCAGAGTTGCGGAAAGCTTCTCAATTGTGGTCGTCATCAATGTGAAAGGGCATGTCATATTGGGGAATGTGATCCTTGTCAGGTACCAGTCAACGCCTCCTGCTTTTGTAAGAAAACTATAGAGAATGTCCTTTGCGGCGATATGAATGTTAAGGGAGAGGTTAAAGCAGAAGATGGTGTGTTTTCATGCAATTTGAACTGTGAAAAAGACCTTGAGTGTGGTAATCATTCTTGCCCTGAGGTTTGCCACCCTGGGCCTTGTGGGGACTGTGATTTTAGGCCCAGTAGAATTAAGACATGTTATTGTGGGAAAACGGGTTTGCAAGAGGAGAGGTGGAGTTGCCTTGATCCGATTCCTTCTTGCTCAAATATTTGCAGCAAGCGTCTTCCTTGTGGGCTGCATAACTGCAGTGAGACGTGCCATGCAGGTGATTGTCCGCCTTGTTTAGTTCAAGTCAGGCAGAAATGCCGGTGCGGTTCAACATCTCGAACTGTGGAATGCTACAAAACAGTTTCAGACATGGAGGAGTTCATTTGTGCCAAACCATGTGGCCGTAAGAAAAACTGCGGGAGGCATAGGTGTAATGAGCGTTGCTGCCCTCTGTTGAACCACCCTAAGAATGCTGATCTGTCTGATGATTCTGGTCTGCACCTTTGCCAAATACCTTGCGGGAAGAGGCTAAGGTGCGAACAGCATTCCTGTGAAACTCTCTGTCACTGTGGCCATTGTCATCCTTGTCTCGAGATGATTTTCACAGATCTTGCATGTGCATGTGGGAAAACTTCGATACCTCCGCCGTTACCATGTGGGACTCCTGTCCCGAGTTGTCAGCTTCTGTGCTCGGTTCCGCAGCCTTGTGGGCATTCCGCTACACATGATTACCATTTCGGGGATTGTTTGCCTTGTTCAGTGCCTGTGGAGAAGAAATGCATTGGCGGTCACGTTGTTCTCAGGAACATACCTTGTGGGTTAAAAGACATCAGGTGTAACAAAATCTGCGGAAAGACAAGACGTTGTGGCATGCATGCTTGTGCCAGGACTTGTCACCCTGAACCTTGTGGCAACGGCGATCAAGAATCTCAAGCTGGTCTGCGTGTTACTTGTGGACAGACTTGCGGTGCTCCCAGAAGAGACTGCAGACACACTTGTGCAGCGCTGTGCAATCCTTCTAGGCCTTGTCCTGATCAGAGATGTGAGTTTCCACTCAAAATAACTTGCTCATGTGGTCGCATAACAGCTACAGTCCCTTGTGACGCTGGAGGAGGAAGTGCTGCTGGTTTTAACGGTGACTCTGTCTACGAAACTTCCATTTTGCATAAGCTTCCGGTGCCGCTTCAACCTGTTGAGTTAAATGGAAAAAGGATCCCTCTTGGGCAGAGAAAGCTTACTTGTGATGAAGAGTGCGCTAAGCTAGAGCGTAAACGGGTTCTTCAAGATGCATTTGATATCACGCCTCCAAATCTAGACCCTTTACATTTTGGTGAGAATTCCACCTTGACTGAGATCATTTCTGATCTTTATAGACGTTACCCTAACTGGGTGCTAGCAGTTGAGGAGCGGTGCAAATTCCTGGTGCTTGGAAAGGCCAGAGGTAGCACAAGTAGTGCCCTAAAGCTCCATATCTTCTGCCCTATGGAAAAGGATAAAAGAGAAGCGGTTCGGTTGATAGCTGAGAGGTGGAATCTCGCTGTTAGCAACGCAGGGTGGGAACCAAAACGCTTTATCGTGGTTTACGTTACACAGAAGTCGAAACCCCCGACTAGGATCATCGGAGTCAAGGGAGTTGTATCAGCAGGTGGGCCACACTCACCTGCCTTTGATCCACTAGTTGATATGGATCCTCGGCTCGTGGTTAGTTTTCTTGATCTCCCGAGGGAAGCTAACATCAGCGCCTTGGTGTTGAGATTTGGAGGCGAATGCGAGCTTGTTTGGCTCAATGACAAGAATGCATTAGCAGTGTTCCACGATCCTGCTCGAGCAGCAACTGCCATGAGAAGGCTTGATCACGGATCTGTGTACCAAGGAGCTGTTGTCTTTGTACAGAACCCGAGGCAATCTCCTTCGCTTAGTAACGCATGGGGAATACAGGACGGTTCAGTTAAAGAAGTTCAGAGAGGAAACCCGTGGAATAAGGCTGTGAGTAACAAGTCTGATGCAAATTCCTCCACTGGAGGGTCTGTGTGGAAATCAACAAAGGATAACAAATTGATCGCTCCTTTAGGCAACCGTTGGAGCGTTCTTGAGCGCAAGAAGGCTGTTTCGTTGGAGCCTCTAGCTCAGACCGAAGGGACAAATAGTTCAAAAGCTGCTGGTAAACAACCGGAAGAGACCCAAGTGGTTGATGACTGGGACAAAGTATGCGACTGATAGTAAGAAGATTAAGAAGACTAAACGCCAATGAAGCTAATTGTTTTTTGCTCTTGTATATTGGAGACTAATGAAGCTTGAGTCGCTTCTGATGTTCTTTCACCGAGCGGTTAAAAACAGAGGATCAGTTTATTTCAGGTTAGCTTCGCCTTTGTTCAATAAGTGTCAAAAAAATATGATCATTGTCGCTCGAAACACGAATCTTTCTAACACAAATTACATCGATGAAGTTCTAACTAACCAAGCTTTAGATCATAATAATGTAATTGAAAGAGACCTTTCTTGAACAAGTCTTAAAGTTCTGTGTGATAATCTTCCGGCTTAAACCATAATGAGAAATCGATACCTTTCGTCTTCAAATTCTCAGTTGCTGGTGCGATTCTCTCCAGAAGCTACAGCAACGGTTAAACCAGAAAATATCAGACTGAAATCTCTAAGCATACATAATAAGGAGAATTTATAAAAGTTCATTGAAACCTTGGAATGAAGAACACCATTGGACACCAAAACAGATCTATCAAACACAGAAAACTTCCCTCCATCCATTCGAGTCACAGCTCCTCCAGCTTCCTCGACTATCTGTGTTCGAATTCAGACATGGTTAAAGCTTAGCAACATATATATAGTTTGGTAAGAAGAAAAAAAAAAACAAGAAGAGTAAAGAAGTTTACAAGAACACCAGCAGCCATGTCCCATGGCTTTAGACGATACTCCCAATAACCTTCCACGATCCCGAGTGCCACGTGACACATGTCAACTGCTGCACCACCTAACCTTCGCACTCCGCGACTCACACCAGTGAACTCTTTGAACAGTTCCATGTTCGTACTCCACGCATCATCATGTTCATACCCAAACCCTGTCACAAGAAGTGCTCTCTCCACCTACACTCCAACCAAAACCCGTTGCTACATGCCATGTCGAAAACTAAATTGGATTCTAGATAAAGTTAACTTACAGCATTCGTGTTACTGACATGAATCTTTTGCCCGTTACACAACGCTCCACCACCTAAAGTTAGACAAATCAACTGAATCAAAGAAACCAAAATAGAAAAACATAAGCTTGTCACATTTGTACCTGCACATCGGACCACCGACAAACTCTACCACAGAAGCAGCAGCAGGTTTTCCGCGATACAGAACACCCACAGAAACAGCAAAACTGGGATACTCATGAGCAAAATTTGTTGTTCCATCTATGCATAAAAAGAAGAGATTTTTATTCAAATCTCAAAAGCTCATATAAACTTATCTAAAGTAAAACTCATAACATGAAGGGAAAGAAAGCAGTGAGATTTTGTAAAGAGAGCAAAACCTAGTGGATCGATGCACCAGAGATAATCAGAAGATGTATCACCGATGATACCTCCTTCCTCGCCAAGAATAAGATGATCACTGAAATTCTTTTTCACTACTTCCAAAATAGCATCTTCACTTGCTTTATCAGTACTGTAAATTCAGAAGATACACACTTTACATGCCTTCAGGCAATCAAGTCAGCTTACAGAAGCTAAGTAAGAAATCTAGTTGCTGAAGAATTTTATTTTTTAAGTCCTTACTCAGTTACCAAGTCACTGAGGCCTTTGTAAGTGATATTCCTTGGCTTATTTACAGCTTCCATAACGACCTACAAAGTGAACTTTATCACTTCAAGTTTGGTTTTTTATTCTTCTACTTTTGATCTATGAACACAATTTCGAGAATCATCAAAGGGTTTTTCCTATTCAAATCATTCCTCCAATAAACAAGAAATTGTAAAGACATGAAATTCCAAACCTCTGCGCCGGCTTTAGCTGCGGCTTCGACGACCTCAAGGAGCTCTGACGGCAATACAGTTCCGGTGGATTTAGCGCCGATTCTAAGATAATGCTTCTGATCATGAACTTGATCTGATTGTTGCGACGCCATGGAGAACCTTGGAATCGATCAATGAATGAAACAGAAGAGAAACCCGATCGATAAAGACGAAAGATAGGAGAAGATGAACAACGAAATCGGGAAAGTCGAAATCAGAGAAATTGTCTGACCATATCAAGGAAATCGAACAGAGAAGAAGAGAGCGATAGTATATAGATAAATCAATCGAAAGAATGTGAACAAAAATGAGAGAATCACAAACTAAATTGCTTGTCTTTTTTTCTTTTCTTTTGTGTATTGGACTAATGGAGCTTCTGTCGTTCTTTCACTTCGGAGCTCAAAAACAGAGGATCAGTTTCTTTCAGATTGTCCAAAAATTTTTTTTTTTGTTGAAAACACTTTTCTCAAAAGTCATAACAGAGCTATTCTCTTGAAACTTTATTAATGATGATCTGTTGAACAATGCCATTTTGGTTCCAAACCAAACTAGAAGAAATCTAGTTAAGTGAGAGTTGGTGGAACAGTTCAGCGCATGGAGAAAGAAGAAGCTATGAAGTAGCCTTTTGACTATGTTGAGTGTTTTAAGGAAAAATGTTGTTTAAGCTAAAGTTGTTGTGTTTGAATTCTGTATAAGTCTAGACTCCTTTGTATTGTACCAATTATCACAAAATGAAACGAGAAGAAAGTATTTTATGAAAAGCTCTCTGTTCTCTCTCTTTCTTCTATGAACGATGAACAACAACATTAAAACAGAGAACTCTGTTTTAAGGAACAAAAGATCAACATGGTATCAGAGCTCATGATGATTCATGGAGACTCGCCGAACAAGATGATGGATTCAGAAGACTCAGCAACAAATAGAACCAAGGAAATGGTTCAAAGAAATAAGAAGAACAAGATGGTGAGAACCAAGCAAATGGTTCAAAGAGACAAGAAGAACAAGACGGTGAAAGAAGAAATAGAATTTCCTGAAGAAGAGAATGGTCAACATGATGAAGTAGAGAAGCATCACATGTTTACCGCAGAACAAGGAGAAGAAGAATCAAGAAAAGAAAATGTTTGGCTCATTGATAGTGGATGTACAAACCACATGACGCCAAACAAAGAAATGTTTGTGAGGCTTAACACAAACATAAAGGTTCCTATAAAGGTTGGAAACGGAGCAGTGCTGATCTCAGAGGGAAAAGGAGACATTGAAGTGATGACTAAGAAAGGAAAAAGGGTCATAAGAGAAGTTTTTCTCGTTCCCAAGCTCGGAAAAAATCTTCTAAGTGTTCCACAAATGATTACTAACGGTTATAAAGTAATCTTTCAAGAAAATCATTGCATCATTCATGATAAGACCGGGAAAGAAATAGGAAAAGTTCAAATGGTGAACAAGAGTTTCCACATCAAATGGAACTCTCATGAAGAAACAGCAATGGTGGCTAAAGATAAAGAGGGAGATCTATGGCATAGAAGACTCGGTCACACAGGATACAACAACTTGAAAGTTATGTTTTCAAAAGGGTTGGTCACCGGTCTGCCAAGACTCAACATAACTCAAGAAAAATGCGAGAGCTGTATCATCAGCAAACATAGCCGTGACTCATTTCCAAGAGAGTCTGAGTCAAGAGCCATGAAGAAGCTGGAGCTTATCCACAATGACTTGTGCGGACCAATGCAAAACACATCATTCAGCGGAAGCAGGTATATACTTACCTTTATTGATGATGCTACTCGAATGGTATGGGTATATTTTCTTAAAGCAAAGTCAGAGGTCTTCAAAACGTTTAAAAGGTTCAAGAATCTTGTTGAGAATCAGGCCAACTCCAAGATTAAAAGACTCAGAACAGATAGAGGATCAGAATACCTTTCAGGAGAGTTTACAAAGTTTTTAGAAGATTGTGGCATTGAAAGACAACTGACAGCAGCCTACTCGCCACAACAGAATGGAGTTTCAGAAAGAAGAAATCGAAGTTTGGTGGAGATGGCTAGAGCAATGATTAAAGCCAAAGGTCTTCCTTTGAAATTTTGGGCAGAAGTTGTATACAATGCGGCCTATGTACAAAACAGAACACCGACTAGAGCTCTCAAGAATACAACTCCTCTTGAGGCATGGAATGGTACCAAACCTTCAGTGGGACATATAATGGTGTTTGGTTGCTTGTGCTATGTCCATATTCCTGATGAGAAAAGAAGAAAATGGGATGACAAATCAAGAAGAGCTATATTCGTTGGATACAGCTCACAAACCAAAGGATACAGAGTATACCTTCTCGAAGAAAATAAAATAGACATCTCAAGAGATGTCATATTTGATGAAGAGAGTCAATGGGATTGGACCAGGAAGCAAGCTGTAAAGGATTACAAGATATCCATTGAAAATGAGGAAGGTGAAGAAGACCAAGGAAACGAAAATCTTGAGCCAAACAACGACGCTTTTGCTGATGAAGAACCCACATCTCAAAGTCCAAATCTTGAGCCAAACTTAGGAGGAAGCTCCAGTCGTGTTAACAAAAGAACAAGATCTCTTGCTGATATTCTGCTTACGGCTCCTTATGCTGATCTAGAATACTCAGCTGTAATGGAAGGATGTTACAGCGGCTTAGAGGAACCAGCGATGTTTGAAGAAGCTGTGAGACATGACGAATGGAACGAGGCAATGGAAGAGGAGATCAAAATGATAGAGAAGAATGAAACATGGGAGCTAGTTAAAAGACCATTAGACAAAAACGTTGTTGAAGTGAAGTGGATTTACAGGCTAAAAACAGATGCACAAGGAAATGTGGTGAGGCATAAGGCAAGATTAGTTGCAAGGGGCTTTACTCAGCAATACGGTGTTGATTACTTGGAAACATTTGCTCCGGTTTCAAGACATGAAACTATCAGACTTCTCATTGCAGTTGTGGCTCAAAAGGGTTGGAAACTATTTCAACTTGATGTCAAGTCAGCATTTCTTAATGGGAAGCTTGAAGAAGAGATTTATGCTGAACAGCCTCTTGGATTTGAAATGAAAGGAAAGGAATATCATGTTCTTCTGCTGCACAAAGCTCTTTATGGGCTTAAACAAGCTCCTAGAGCTTGGTACAGCAGAATAGATGAGTTCTTCCAAAGAGAAAGGTTTAAGCGAAGTGACAATGATCATGCTCTATACACTATGGAAAGCTCTTGGTTGTGTGCATATATGTTGATGATCTCATTGTTACAGGTGATGATGAAAGCATGGTGAATGAGTTCAAAAACACTATAAAGGATGAGTTTGAAATGTTAGATTTGGGCCTCCTGAATTATTTTCTTGGAATGGAGATCATACAAAAACCGGATGGTATATTTCTCTCACAAGAATGTTATGCCAAGAAACTGTTAAAGAAATTCAACATGGAAGAGTGTAAGGTTATGACTACTCCATTGTTACCTCAACGTAAGTGTCAAGAAGAGCGAGAGGAGGCCATTGATAGCAAGGTTTACAGAAGTCTAGTGGGAGGTCTGTTATACCTAACAGCTACAAGACCTGATCTAATGTTTGCAGCCTCTTATTTGTCAAGATACCTGAAGGAGCCAATGACATCTCATCTCAAGGATGCAAAGCGAGTTCTGAGATATATCAAAGGGACATCTGATATGGGACTATGGTTTACTAGAGTGAATGAAGCTAGCCTTGTTGGTTACTCTGACAGTGATTGGGGAGGATGCCAAGAAGACTTGAAGTCAACTACTGGCTATTGCTTTAGTATAGGATCAGCAGTGTTTACCTGGCAAACGAGCAAGCAGGATACCGTTGCTCAATCAACGGCAGAAGCAGAATATATGGCGTTATGTGCATCATCTAACCAAGCAACTTGGTTAAGGAGATTGCTTGAAGACTTGCGGATAAATTCTCAAGAAGGAGTACCCATTTACTGTGATAGCAAATCGGCCATAGCTATTGGGAAGAATCCAGTTCAGCATAGGAGGACTAAACATATTCAGATTAAGTATCATGTTGTCAGAGACTATGAAAGAAACAAAGAAATTCAGTTGAGATTCTGCAAAGGAGAGGAACAACTAGCTGATGTGTTCACCAAGGCCTTAAGTGGACAAAGCTTTGAAAGATTTCGTAACAAGCTCGGTTTGGTTCACAAAATGGCAAGTAGGAGTGTTGAACAATGCCATTTTGGTTCCAAACCAAACTAGAAGAAATCTAGTTAAGTGGGAGTTGGTGGAACAGTTCAGCGCATGGAGAAAGAAGAAGCTATGAAGTAGCCTTTTGACTATGTTGAGTGTTTTCAGGAAAAATGTTGTTTAAGCTAAAGTTGTTGTGTTTGAATTCTGTATAAGTCTAGACTCTTTTGTATTGTACCAATTATCACAAAATGAAACGAGAAGAAAGTATTTTATGAAAAGCTCTCTGTTCTCTCTCTTTCTTCTATGAACGATGAACAACAACATTAAAACAGAGAACTCTGTTTTAAGGAACAAAAGATCAACATGATCGAATATCCGAGTCAGAATCAGAAAAAAGGTTTGACCTTTCAAAATGACTTGAGATTCAATTACAGAACCAAGAACAGTGTTGAGTGGTTCACAAGAATGCATTGTTTGATTCTCAGATTCTCATTGAGATCAAGTGCAATAAGTTGTGCATATATGCTTTGCCTTTCGTTGGCCGTTAAAGTATTTTATTACGCTGTCCCTCAAATTGAAGAAAAGTATATTACTTTGATTGTTTTTTCTTTCTCAATCTTCCTCTGTTTTTTTTTTCAATTCAAAATGAGAAAAGTTCTATATATGTAAAGCTCATTCGAGAGATCTTGTGTTAGTGGTTTGTAACATATCTCTCGAATGTCTTCAGAAAAGAGTAACAAGAGTTTGCACCACGAGGCCGACTCCAAAATGGAACAAGATGTGAGTTTCTTTGTTTCTTTTCTTTGCCATTGAACATTTTTATTGACAGAGAATTCTGTGAACACTGATAATTAAACTCTGATTGAAAAAGTGTTTATCTTGCTTGTTATTTTCTTGTTAAAATTTGCAGACCAATAGAAAAGCATGGATTTTTCAACCGACTGGTCTTAATTTCGTTTGGGGAGGTGACTCAAGATATTGGGTTATCCCTAAAGAACCAAAGTACCTTTAAACCGATAAACCAATAAACCAAACTTTTTGGGTTACTAATACCAAAACTTTAAACCAATTCATTTGATTGATGGTTTTAGGGTGCCTGCTGAACTGAAGAAGGTGAGTTGGTTAGAAGTAACAGGTTCGTTCGAGAAGATTGAACCCAGAAAAACATACCGAATCGGTTTCAAAATCTCGTTTAAACCTGATGCAACTGGTTGGGACGAAGCACCAGTTTTCATGTCAGCTAAAATCGGAAAGAATGGCAAGACAGTGTGGAAAAGGATCAAATCCATTAACCAGAACTTTCTTAAACCGAAACGCGGATCAGAACCGGTCAATATACCTGACGAGTCTGATGGCCGGTTCGAAATCTCGGTTAGCCCCACAACGGTTAATCAAGATACCAAGCTTCAGTTTGGTCTCTATGAGGTGTGGACAGGAAAATGGAAGACTGGTTTGTTAATCCATGAAGCCTTTGTTCAAGAAGTGTAAAGAGGATAATTCATAGTCTCAACATGAATCTTATACCTCAAATTCTGTTGATTTATTTCTTAAATAAACAAAGCTTTAGAGCATAAAGCAATATGATACCTCGCTTGAACAATTCAGGACAAGTCTTAAAGTTCTGTGTGATAATCTTCAGGCTTAAACCATAAGGAGAAATCGATTCCTTTCGTCTTCAAATTCTCAGTTGCTGGTGCGATTCTCTCGAGAAGCTACAACGGTTAAACCAGAAAACGTCAGACCAAATCTTTAACCATAACAGATTTTGAAGCATTATACAAAAGCTCATGGAAACCTTGGAGTGAAGAACACCATTGGACACCAAAACAGATCTATCAAACACAGAAAACTTCCCTCCATCCATTCGAGTCACAGCTCCTCCAGCTTCCTCGACTATCTGTGTTCGAATTCAGACATGGACTAAGCTTAACAACATATGTAGTTTGGTAAGAAGCAAAAAAACAAGAAGAGTAAAGAAGTTTACAAGAACACCAGCAGCCATGTCCCATGGCTTTAAACGGTACTCCCAATACGATTCCGCAATCCCGAGTGCAACGTGACACATGTCAACTGCTGCAGCACCTAGCCTACGCACTCCTCGACTCACATCAGTGAACTCTTTGAACAATTCCATGTTCGTACTCCATGCATCATCATGTTCATACCCAAACCCTGTGATAAGAAGTGCTCTCTCCACCTAAAGTTAAACCCCAAATAGATAGAGTAAGAATACCAAAACCATTGCCTGTACCATGTCGAAGAAACTAAACTGGATTCCAGATTATTTACTTACAGCATCTGTGTTACTGACATGAATCTTTTGCCCGTTACACAACGCTCCACCACCTAAGCAATGAATGTACTTAGACAAATCTTAAATACAGAACAAAACTAGAAAAACATAAGCTTGTCACATTAGTACCTGCAGTTGCAGAAAACGTTCGAGTGTTCCAGCACATCGGACCACCGACAAACTCTACAACAGAAGCAGCGGCGGGATTTCCACGATACAGAACACCAACAGATACAGCAAAACTGGGATACCCATGAGCAAAATTTGTTGTTCCATCTATGCATTAAAGGAAGAGAATCATATGAACTTCTCTAAAGCAAAACCCATTACACGAAGAGAAAGCAATTAAGATTTTGTAAAGAGAGCCAAAACCTAGAGGATCAATGCACCAGAGGTAATCAGAAGAGGTATCGCCGATAATACCTCCTTCCTCGCCAAGAATAAGATGATCACTGAAATTCTTTTTCACTACCTCCAAAATAGCAGCCTCACTTGCTTTATCAGTACTACAAACTCAACAGATACACACACTTTTAATACAATAAAGTCAACATGAAGATAGATAGAAACCTCAATCTACACAAGCTAAGTAAGAAATTTGAAAGTTGAAGATTCTTATGTGAAGTCCTTACTCAGTTACCAAGTCACTGAGGCCTTTGTAAGTGATATTCCTTGGCTTATTTACAGCTTCCATAACGACCTAGAAAACATATCAAAGAAACCACAAAATTAAGTGCAAAATTCTCAATTTCAAGTTAGCTTCTCTATTCTTCTCTGCTCTATTGTCAATTTGGAGTCTCATCATCAAAGGTTTGTTTTTTCTTTTCATTCAGATCAGTCCTCCAATAAACGAAAAATCGGATACTGTATCGTAAAGACATGAAATTACGAACCTCTGCGCCGGTTTTAGCTGCGGCTTCGACGACTTGAAGGAGCACTGCCGGAGATATAGTCCCGGTGGAGTTAGCGCCGATTCTTGGATAATGCGTCTGATCAGAAACTTCAGATAGAACAGCTTTTGTTCGAAGTCTCGTCGTGGATTTGATGCTGTTAGACAAAACCCTCGAAAACCCATGTCGGAAATTTCTGGTTAATACCCGGCATGAAGAAGATGGGTTTGTCACCGGGAAAGATGATCTGTGCAAGTGAGAGACTCTCATTGACATATTTCCCGAGAAAATTAGAGACCTCCCCATTTTTTTTTCTCTCTTCGATGTCGCCGGAGAATTACCCGAAATTGAATTCCAATTTTTGTAGATTTTGGTTTTTAGTGGCCGAGTGAGTGGACGAACGAGAGAGGATGGTAAACAAAAGAAAAAAAAAAACTCATAGAAAGAGCGCAAAGGAAAAACAAAAATACCATTTTTATTCAAATGTTATCTTAAAAATTTACAAAGATGGGATTTTTGTGGTAAAGTAAAGGAAAAAATTAGGTGTTTAAGGGACAGACAAACATCACCAAAATGGTGTTACAGTAAACCAATAGACCAGAGATTGCTGATTAATCATTCTCGCAACAGAAGCCGATGTGATTGATTCTAACATCTTACACAAAACAGAGGAAGATGATTCTAATAATCCAATCCAATCAGAAGCAGATCCCTCCCAACAATGGATTCTTGATTTCAACACAATTCATTACATCAAACCAGCTAAAGGGTTACTGCAGATGAACCCAATTAAACATTTTGATCCTCTCATCTACTCAAAACTATTCTTCACATTCTCTACCAATTGCATTTGGCAGAAGCTTACTCCTCAACAGATAGGACAAGTTAGCTTTTTTATTCTTCTCTGATCTCATCTTCGATCCTCTTCCTCCAACAAATCAAGAAAGAATCGAAATTTCAAAAACCCATAACCCTAATTCCCAAATACCGGACTCGCCAGAGCAATTAAACGCCAAATTCGTGTGAATAATCTAATCGTTACGTTTCGTTTCGTTCGTTAAACCTAACGTTGCTCGAGTCCTCTCTGATGGCGAGAAAGACAGAGAGAAAGTGAGAACTGAGCGTCCTCGCACTGTTTGCGCTTAAGGCTTGTTCCGCCGCTGGAGCAAAAGGACCTCACCGCCTCTGATTCCTCCGGACAGGCCTCCGACACAACGCACTCCGCAAACGCCTTGTTCAGATGTCTGCAACCGGATTTACGAGCCGGTCCCTCCGGCATCCGACGGTGGCACTGCAACAACGCTTCCTGTAACCGATCGCAAGATTTCATCGGAATATCTGAATTTTTCCCGGCGAATCTGTCTGAGCTCTCAAATGTCTTGTTTGATGATATTCATTAGTTGGGTTTGGGCTTTTGTGTTGTTAGCCCATATTTATCGACGATGTCTCTTAAACCAAAAAGTTCCTTTGCTATTTCACACATGTTTGAGCAACATAAACATTTGAAGATTAATGATTTTTATTTAAAATTGAAGATTAATCTTTTATGTCCCTTGTAAAACTATTGCTAAATTTTAGGGTTTTTTTGTCGAATTGTTTATTGGAAATACATGCTGTAATTAGAAAAACTAACAATATTAAAAAAATTGCAAGAAATTTGGAAATGATGTAAAACGTCTGAATTTGTTGATGAAGGTGAGAATTTCAGTGCCTCCCGACACACTAAGGAACACCAAAACAACCGGGACATAGTATCTCTCACCCGTTTACATTGTGGTGGTTGAAATCGCCAACATTTCCGGTTACACTTAAAATCTTCAATCCAAGAAAACAGAAGGTAAAAGAATACATTGTTGTTTACCATCATTGAGAAAGCACAGTCATCTAAAATCATCCCAACAAATATATCATTCTTTTTTTTATTCTTAATTATTATTTTGTAAGGTCAATCACATGTGGTGGTTAATGGTTATACGCCTTAATCAATATAAAAATAAGAAAAGGTTTGTGACTTTTTAGTCTTTGGCAAGGTTCCTTAAGATAAGTAGTAACTGATGTGACTACTTGTCATTGGCTTAGATAGTTGGACAAACTAAGTTGTTTTAGTGATGAATGATCGCGTTATGATTAGTCGGTTATGCTTGATTTAACTAATTAGCTCACATTGCTTGATATTCATTTTTCTAAAATACATTATTTGTCATGGATTAGGTGCCTTTGTTTGTTTCAAAAAATATATCTACATATATATATGCCTCTGTTTAGAACATGTTAGATATCAATTCCCATGCATTTGTAATTGTACAATGTTATATTAAAACTTGAATATGTATAGATCATAGATGACAGATTATCGTATACAACGATTACAAAGATTGATACCAAAACGGCAAACGTAGCTAGAACAAATATCATTTAACATAACTGCAAGTAGGGTCCGTCCACAATTGTTTTGAGATCAGAAATTGATTTCCATTTTCCACAAATTCATTTTTGATACATCAATCTTAATATTGTCATTACAGAATCCTACAAATAATTAGTATGACTTCTGATATATCATCTCCTAAACCCTAGTTGTTACATATTCCAAATATCTTAATTTGATTTATATTATTAATCTCGAACTCATCCCTTGTATTAACGACTTGGACATAAAAGTGTTTTTCTAATAAAGTAATTAATGTTTAATTTCTACAAACCACTAAATCGTTATAAATGATCAAAATACATAAGAAACCAACTACGAATTAAAATACAACCTTCAGATGAAAGTATGAGGAAGTATAATCTTCATAATTAATCTTTATACAATCCATCATGCGTCTTCCCTATTATGGATATTCGAACAAAGGCTACAATTGCAGATCAACCCAGATAATCCCAATGCCGATCGCTGGTTACGTATAGCAAAAGCTATATTAGAACAGGCATGAGCCGTAGTCAATTGTACATGATAGCGTACGTTCATTATTTTTTCTGATCCAACATTATAAATAACGCACGATCTGCCACACACACACACAAAAATAGTACTAGCTAGGATGCAAGATTGTTCCTAAGTGTATCTAGCGAGGATAATGCTTTTCTCTAACTCATAGATTATAAAACCTAACTCTATCCTAACAAATTCCCAAATTATTTGTCTTCAAACAAGTTTGTTCTTTTAGCTCTCATTACATAGCAAACACAATATTGATCAATCATCTGATTGCATGTTAATCCACACTATAAATAGATAATAAGTTCTAGATTTGTTATTCATCATTTTTTCGAAGTCTAAATTCAGATTAGTTGTTACTGAGATATAGTGAGATGGATATTTATGCGTTTTGTCACTAAACTAATCAAACGCATTCTTCTTTATCGTCACTAGATATAGTATACTGTATACAATTATTTTAATTATAAATCTTAGCATATAGGCACATGTAAACGCGTTCCTACCAACAAACATGAGCTTGTGGACATGTTCATTTACACAGTAACTAACTATCCACAAGTTCATTTGCACAGTAACTAAAAAGTATTTGCTTTTGTTTGCGCCATTGTATTGTATGTATGTACATGTATCAACCTAGATAGATATATATATTTCTTTTTTTTTTTTTTGAATGAATGTTAAATTGTATTCAAACCAAAAAAATAGCGTTTCTACATTAGTTTAGTTTTTTGAATGATATATATATTTCAAATAATGAGGATTTGATACTCTAAGAAATAAATAAATGGATTTACGAGGAAGTAAAAAAAAATATAAGTTAATGTATTGTTACCTCTAATGATGTTATGATGATGATATTGGAGTCGTAAAAGTCAAAGCCAAGAGGGAGTCGCTTTTCTCATGAAAATTAAGTTTGACGTTTTGCCATTGTTGGTGTTTGAGTGAATGAAGCTGCAGGATGATCTGGTATTACTATTTCTATATTTACACTACATAGTATATATATATATATATACGTAATCGGACAACGAACAACTTAATTTGTTTATATTTTAACCCAAAAAAATAAATCCTTCAATTACTCTATTAATTTTTATTAGCTATTTTCAAATTGATATGTAGATTATACCATACACAAATGTTTGTACACGCACAAAAATGAATATATATATATATATATATATATATATATATTTCATTTGAAGTAGTAAAAAAGAGACATTTCACTAATTATGAAAAGGAGGAGAACAATTTATCCCAAAAAAAAGGAGGAAAATAAACTATATATATATATATATATCTTTGTGGGAAATATATCTTGGATGTGTGGAAATTAGCATATGTGTATGTGTTTGCATAATTATATAATGTACGTGTATGCACATGTAGCGATTACCAGATCATGCTGGCAGCTTCAGCCTCTGAAAACCAACATCGGTATCAAGTTATGCAAATCTTACATCAACCCTGTAACTGAAATCGATCACAGATCACTGAAGAAGAGAATGAGAAGAAAAGTGTATCCTTTGAAGTTTATTTTCCAAGAATTGGGTTTTTCGGAGAAGAGAGCAAAGATTAACAGGAAGAAAAGAGACATGGAAAATGTCTCAACTTGATAGTCGCAGTTGAGATTCTTCACATACACACATATATATATTATTTTTTAAACAGTAATACAGGCTTGCTTGTATTATTGTATATAAATGGACCAAAAAGTGGATAACAAATTAATTAAGCTGTATTAATTTTTGTTTACCTTTTGTTTCTTTATGAACCATGTGTACAAATTAATGGTAGAAATGAAAGAGAAAAAAAAACCTGTGTATTTGAAACGGTAAAATTGCGGTTGGAACAGTGAAAATTATATATGGTAGAAATATTTTCAACTTAAGTTTAACTGTGCAGACGGTTAGATGATTAACACCATAAAATTTTAAAATATGACTATTAAAAATTATAATATCATTGCATGCCATAATCTATTTTCTTATACAATTTTTCAATCCGATTCGAATACTTTTTCCTATCTAAACTGTATTCATTTACATCTAAACCAAAAGAACCTATACAAAACGAAATTTTATAGTGGGGACACCTAATTAAATCTAATGCTCAAAATCTTCGTTTACATAAAAAACAAAAATTGGATTTCGATCTTCAAAGATTTTATATATTAAGACTGCCAATGCGCGCGCGTGACCATATGTATTCATAAGAACCATTAAATATTTTTTTGCAATTATATGAAATTATTATAGAAAAACAAAAAGGATGGATGAGGAAGAGAAGATAGGGCTTTGGGAATTAATGGCTGAGACAAATGAAAAGGATATGACCGAATCCGAAATCTCGATCCGTTGCATGCGTCTTCTGTCTTATTGTTTCTCCTATTTCTTTGTCCTGATCAGTCCTCACCATTTATCCATCACATTCACACATACATACACGTATATACATATTTATAACGATCATGCATGTGTAGACTCAAAGTGAAACTTTCAAAATAGAACTAAAGTTCTAATTGTTCTTGAGATATGTAAATGTTATGTTATGTTTCCACCACAAGTTATGTATATATTTGTTGTTCACAAAAAAAAAAAAAGTATTCCGAGACAATTGTGTTTTTACCCATTTGTGTTAGGTCTCCTATACCAACACACAATATTTTCTTGTTATACCAAGTTTTAAATTTTAGAGATGTACAAGTTTCCGGATTAAAATTAGAATGTAATTCACTTCTGTAAATATCCATATTTTTCTAGGCACATCATAAGATTCATAATGTTCCATTTTGATTGTCATACAATTAAACAACATTCTGCTAACTAATCACAAAACTGACCATGTTCGAATACACTATAAATGTATACAATATTAATTTATATTGTACAAGTGTATTAATTGTATGTGCTAAAAAAAATACTAATATATAGACGTGACAAGATTAGGAGGAGGATGGAGTTGTCTTCAGCTAACGTGCTGTCATTTGTCATCTCCGGTGTCTTTGTGTTTTACATGTAAATCGAACATTTCCATCTGCTGGTAAAATTACATAATTTCCCAAATTTGCTAAACTGACACATGCATTTTTCTTTTGTAAAAATCTACATTAATTTGACTGAACAAAGATATGTTAGTTTTAACTTTTAAAAGAAGGCATCAACAGTATCTTCATATATATGTACATCACTCGTCTTTGTAATAACTACAAGAAACAAAAAAACAAGTATAATGCTACGAGTGTATATGATAACTCCATTAATTGTTTGCCTTGTTTTTTGTTGTTATAATTGACGTAAATAATTTAATAATTGGGTCCATAGAAACGTGATTATGTTTTAATGTCTCCCATGATTGAAATCAGAAGAGATAATTAGACTATATTAAGTGTGACGAAACAAAATCCTACTCGTCTTTTTTGGTTGACAATTAGTTTGTGAATAAGATTCGTTAACCAAACCAAATCAACGACGTTATTCATTCGTGTCCGTCAATCAGCATCTACCACCTAGCAATTACACATTCAGCTCTATACTATTTTATTATATATATTTCAAAGTTGGTATATAAAAACAAACGCAATTGGTTATTTTCGAATTAAATGTATTGTTTGAAAGTTAAAATACAAAATCAAAACTGTATATAGAGTCAAACAAAGTAGCGAAGATTGCGTTTCATGTTCTAATATAAGAATATCATATTACTTTTTATGTTTGCATTTATACACTAAAAATAGAAATTATTACGGCCACAAAATACAGTATTACGGCTTACAAGAATCAATTATGCATGAAATCAATATTAGTAAGTGCAATACATGCATTTTCTGCTAAGAAAACAGAAGAGTTTTTAGTGAAAAAAACCCTCAACTAAATTTGAATCGGATAAAATCCATCAACTATTTTTGTAATGTAAAAACTCTTTAACTAAATTTTCGTAATGATTTAGTCCTTCCGTCAACAGTACCGTCAAATCTTAACGGATTACAGTTAAATGAAAACGTGGTGTTTTGTATTTTATAAAAAAATGAAATGACTTCAATAAAAGAAAACCTAAAATCGATTTGAAACTAAAAATCCCCAATTCAAAAAATAGGGTTCCTCATTCAATTTAAAAATCTCTTAAATCAATCTTCTAGTAAATTTGATGTAAGAAGAAGAACAAGGTTTTAAAGATCAAAGTAAAACAGTTGTCTCATATTCTTCCAAACTTCAGATTTGTGATTTTTTCTCCTCTTTCTCCCAATTTGCGAAAATATTTCTCTCAGTTCAAGGGTTTTTCTCTCAAATTTGTTTTAATCAACACAACAAATCATTTCCACTCTCACCCAATTGACTTCCAAACTATAAAAACTACTTAGAATCATACTTTCAAAATTAGAGTTCATCAATTTAGGTTTAAGAATTTGGGGATTATAGAAATTAGGTTTAATTTGGAATTCTTATAGCTGGTTTTCAAAAAGTTTGTTGTTTATAGTAAAAATCGTATAGTTTTTGCTAAAAAAATAACGATTTGTTAAGATTTGATAGTGCTGTTTACGGAGGGGCTAAATCATTACGAAAACTTAGTTGATGAGTTTTTACTTTAAAAAAATAGCTGAGGGGTTTTTATCCGATTCAAACTTAATGGAATGATTTTTTCACTAAAAGCACAAAACAGAAATATGTAAATGCTAAACACTAATTTCAATTCCATCTTTTTTTTTTTTTCGAAATCAATTCCATCTATTGTTTAAAACTTTTGAATGTAGTTGAGTCTATATTGAAATTGGATATGTCCAAGATTTTAGCCCAAATTTTAGTTTAATAATAGTTCGAATTTCAAAGGCACAGATATCGTACTGCATCAACAGGCCCACTAGTAGATTGAAAGCATATACAGTCGTGATGATTGGGCCTTTCTACTAATAACAAAGCTAATAACATGTTTATGTTTATCCTTAAATACACAAGTCTCAAATTACTTGTAATATTTTTCAGGACAAGGCACATACAGTAATAAAAACTTTCTTTTTCCTAATAGCAAGAACTTTCATTTTCTCAGTAATGAACTTTTCTTATTCCTTGAATGGAAAATTCTGTCTTGGCTTATTAACTCTTGCTAATTTGTTAATGACTGGAAGGTTTTCTTAAGACTCTTAAACATAATTTTTTGTAGTTTAAGCTAAGAACATGTATAAAGAATAAGCATTTTGGCTCATCAATGAATGACAAAATCTTTTATAACTTGTGAGCTTCTGACAATTGTTTGGTAGTTGTAAATCATCAAAGTAGCAAAAAACTCCTCGAGTGTGATACCAACTAATATAGTTAAGCTGATTACTCTTCAGCAAATTTATCTCAGAGATACAAAGTTCTTATTAACACTGGATTACAGACAAAGAGACAGATTATTCCAACAGATACAAATTTAATAGAAGAAAAGTGAACACTTTCATCGAAGATGATGCCTGTGAAACCAAAGAAGATTCTTCAGTCCAAATTCTACAAATTTCAACAACAAAAAAAAAAGCATCTTTGAAGAATACCAAGAATCTATATATACCTTAGTGTTTCTTTTGTTCCTTTGCGGATTTTGCAGCGTATAGTTGGGAGGCCTAACTTCTGATGCGCCTCGTACCTGTGACAACCTGAGAAGCCTGCAACAATAGAAGATTCATCATCTCTAAGCTTTTCACTAAGAAGAAGAAGAATAATAAAAAAAACTGAATTTTGAAAAGCACCATAGTAAGCTCCATCAACTTCAATCACATCAATCTGTCACCACACACGCAAAAATTAGATTCTTCAATTTTGAAACGTGACTCTGGTTTTGTTTCATGTGAATCGAACAAATTTGAAACGAAATTGGATAGTAGGAAGAGAGGAGAAGAAGAAGAAGAAGAAGAAGAAGAAGAAGAAGAAGAAGAAGAGTGCGAGTTTGCTTAACCGGAACTTGAAGACCGATTTCACGTATGCTATCCATGAGCTCCTTCACTTTGTTCTGATCGTTGGATCTTGTTCGCATCAACGGTCTCCGTATCTTCTCCAACGGCAATTCCACGATCATCGGCCCTACACCGCCGCTAGATCCTCCGATCACCGGCGGCGAACCTGAAATCAAAAATCAAACACAGAGACACAGCTTCAGATTCAGCTCAATATCTTCAGAGTACAGTGAGGATTACGTCTTCGAGCTTTACCGTTCGACGAAGAAGCTGAAACGGATAAGCTCCTCAAGCTGCTCGGTAATCTCATCATCAAATTCGCCATTCTCGTCGTCTTCTTCTTCTTCTTCTCTCCTTTCCCTTGTTTCTCTCAATTAAATTAGCATTCTCTTAAAATAATAATTGTGTGAACGAAAATATAAGGACGCAATACGACGTCGTTTATTTCAAAAAACGCAATCGAATCGAAACGGTTTTTTCGAAGCAGAGCTTCAATGGCTGTCACTTCTTCTTCCTCTATGCTGCTGCTTCGGTAAAACTCTAATCTACAGATATTTTTCTGGATTCGGTTGTTGAATTCGAATCGCTAATGGAGTCGAGCGTTTCCTCCTGTTCAGGAACTTCGCTACGGCGGGTAAGATAGCTCAGTCTTTTCGAGCGAATTCGAGAATCTTCTCCACTGGAGAATTGATTAGGGTTCTTCCTCGTATTGGTTCCCAAAGGTGAAAATTTCTTTGAAATTCGGGTTTGTTCATGTGGATAAGTGTTTGATTGTTCACTGACTGGTTTAAGCGCTGGGCAGATCCATCTGTTCTACTCGTGCTGTACACAATGAAGAAGCCGCCGCGAAAGCTGCCGCTGCTGTTGCTGACACCGGAGCTCCGACCATGTAAGGTTTCTTTTTACACACAGTTATGAATCCTTGAGATTTAGTAAACCTTAAAGTGAGATTTTTCTGAAGGATTCAGCTTATTTTGGGATAAGCATGTGTCTATAGTGTTTGGAATCTGGAGGTGGATTTTAGGATTAATTGCTGTAATCTCTCAGAGTAATCCATGTTTGAATGTTTCTTCTTTTGACACAAAATGAGCCAATTCTTTGAAACGTTGTGATGTGATTCTTGGGAACTTAATGACCAAAACGCTCATGAATATGTATCTATCCTGTGGTTTTTAGATTTGACAAGATAATAGCGAAAGAGATTCCATCAGATATTGTGTATGAAGATGAAAACGTTTTGGCATTCAGAGACATAAACCCACAGGCTCCTGTTCATGTTTTGGTCATCCCAAAGTTGAGAGATGGCTTGACCATGCTTGGGAAGGTGCGTCAAGTTTTACTTCGTTTTTCTTGATTATACATCGCAAATGCCCACAAGGCCACAAAATAGCTCATTTGTGTTTTCATCACAATCAAATAGCTGCTTTTACACTTGTCACGCCTTACTGTGACGTCCTTTAGTCTGCTCTTGTAGATCTCATAGAATCTCATCTTGTGGCCAATATCTATGGTGTTGTGTAACGAGTAATGACTACCATTATGCCTGATCAATACTATTTATGTAAATGCTGTCTTCTTTCTTGCCTTCGTGTGAAAGAGTTTAGTTTTTCTTTTGGTGTAACAGATTAAGATCTTAATCTGAGCATGTCTTCCCGTTGAAAACACTTTTTTCAGGCTGAACCAAAACATGTAGAGGTTCTTGGCCAACTTCTGCACGCATCGAAGATTGTTGCTGAGAAAGAAGGCATCCTCGACGGGTTCCGTGTGGTTATCAACAACGGTGTTGAAGCCTGTAAGTCTTTTCTTTTCCCATCCAACCAAACATCATTCACCATTACACTTAACTGACTTAACGTCCTCTCATTCAGGTCAATCTGTTTACCATCTTCATCTGCACGTCCTCGGTGGCCGACAGATGAAGTGGCCACCCGGTTAAGAAGAGGTATTCGTGGTTAAACCAAATAATTTACTATCAACGAGAGCTCCATAATCGTTGATGACTGATCAAGTCTTCAAGAGGTTCAAAATCTGTCAGCTCTAATCTTTTCTCTTAAATGGTTTAATGGTTCTTACCACTGTATGATTATTCTAGTTGTGATTTCGTAAAGACTAGAGAGTAATTTGGAAAATATTTCAAATCTTATATGATTTGTGAGTGTATCTCACCTTTAATCTAAAATTTTATATTGCTTCTCTTCATTCATAACGAGGTTGAAAATGCTCAACGCTAATCTTTTATCTTATTTGGTTAATGAGTTTTTAGTTTTGACCACTGTTTTACTTATCTTACCTAGAGTATTTTTTCTATGAAGTATGTTAAGCTTTACATCATTTTCGATTTTTAACAGACAATTACAGAGATATACGACTATACCAGTAAAAGAGAAATACCGTTAATCTACTAAACATCAAAACAACAAGTCACAATAACGAAACTAAAAAGAAAAGCACAAAGACGGAAGACGGAAGACGGAAATACGTTAATAGACTATAATAGCATCTATAAGGTGAACCCATTAAGGGGTTCTAATTTTATTTAATAATATTATAATTTTGCTTCTAATAAAAATTAGAACCTCTTACAATTACAATATCATGTCTACAATGGTGAACCTCTTATGAGATAATAATAAAATATTAATTTTTTTAATTCGTTTTTTTGCATAATAATTATTTGTATATATAGTTATAAACATAAAACTTTGAATGAAAACATTTTTATTGTGCAATACATGAAAATAAAACATATAAAATATTAAAATTCAAATTACATCATAAAAATGTTTAATTTTGATTTTGAGAATGGCCAAACATCTGCCAAATATGCTCGACTAAATCATTTTTAAGTCGTTCATGCATTACGTTATCGTGAACTTCATTTCTTTTCCCGAGTAAATTGTTGAGATTTGTAGGCATATATATAGAATACGTCCTATCCACCTCTGAAGTTCCGCTTCCTTCTCTTTGCTCGAAAGTTCTTGTATCAAATTGAGTACCCAACAATCTTTCGTTTTCAATAATCATATTATGTAATATAATACAGGCTCTCATAATCTTGCCAATTTTTTCCTTATCCCAAAAGAGAGCTGGGTTTTTTATAATTGCAAACCGTGCTTGCAAGACCCCGAAAGCTCGTTCAACATCTTTTCTGAAGGATTCTTGACAGTTAGCAAATAATTTTGCCTTCTCACCTTGTGGCATTGAAATTGATTGGACAAAAGTTGCCCACTTTGGATAAATTCCGTCTGTAAGGTAGTACGCCAAACGGTATTGATATCCGTTGACGAAGTACCTAACTTTTGGTGCTCGGCCATGTAAAATATCATCGAAAACAGGAGAACGGTCAAGAACATTGATATCGTTTAATGTACCTGGAGGTCCAAAAAACGCGTGTCATATCCAAAGATCTTGATCTGCTACAGCCTCCAACACAATTGTTGGTTTTCCTGAACCACGTGTATATTGTCTTTTCCATGCGGTAGGGCAATTCTTTCACTCCCAATGCATACAATCAATGCTTCCTATCATTCCGGGAAATCCGCGCGACTCCCCGATATCAAGTAAGCGTTGTAGATCATCTGGGTTGGGTCTTCTTAGGTATTCTTCCCCCAAATAAATTGATGATTCCTTCAACAAAATTTTCCAAGCACCTAAGTGCGGTTGTTTCACCGAGGCGGAGGTATTCATCAACTGCATCCGAAGCACAACCATACGCCAAAATACAGATAGCCGCCGTACATTTTTGTAATGCAGACAGACCGAACCTCCCTGTAGCATCTCTTTTTCTTTTAAAGAATGGAACTTGTTGTTCGAGTTGATCAACAATATGCATAAACAGTGGCTTGTTCATCCTAAACCGGCGTCGGAATATATGAGAAGGATAGGTCGAATTTTCACTAAAATAGTCGTTCCATAAATTTTGGTGACCTATTTCGCGTTCTCTCTCAATGTAGGCACGTTTCTTCTTTGCCTTTCTTGGTGCTTGATTCTCCAAAGCGGTGTCAAACGTTTGATCGATGACTCATCAATCTTCCTTCGTTTACTCTATCCATTTTCTTTAGCTGATATCTTTGAACACCATTTCTGATCAAATCGCAACTCTCTCCAGGCGTGTTCCATCGTGAACTTCACTTGATAATCATTGAAAAAAATCTCGTGTGCTGCTTTCATAATGTCGTTTTCGTTTTGACCGCTTCTCTGATTCTTCACTGCAGCCTCGAAGCAACCCACAAACTTGGACACCTGATCATTCAGCCTCCCCCACCTTTGTTTTCACTGGCTCGGTGATCTAGCTTCTGGACCACTGAGGTTGAGAGTGGAGTTGAAGTAGCCCTGTATCCTCTTCCAAAAAGTCCCAAACTTCTGCTCATTGGAGACCATAGGGTCTTTGCTGGTCTTCAACCAAGCAGAAATGAGCACCACGTCTTCCTTTGCTGTCCATGGCCTCCTTTGCTTACGGTCTTCAGCAGGTTCACTTGGATCATCATAACATTGGCTACTAAACCGAGGTGGTTCTGATGATCCAAGATTTATAGTCATTTCTTGTTGGCTAGTTAGTAGATTCATAAACCCTTGAGAAGAACTAAATGGATTAGGAGAATCCATTTAGAAATTAAGAAGAAGTGTTTGGAAAGAAGATTTTGATGAAGGGATGTATTAGCGGTTGTATGAGGTTGGGTTTAGAAGAGTTAGCAAGTTTTGTTTTTTAAAGACAAAGTTTTATTAAAGGTTCACCAACCAAGCATTGATCACAAGTTAGATTTTTATTAATGTTTTTAAGTGTACTTAGCATTGATCACATTTTCTAGTTCACCAACCAAACATTTATCACGAGCAAACAACGCTAAACCCTAAACATAACTACACCCATTAACTCTTCACCAAACAAGTGGCATTGATTACCAACCATTAACTCTAACTTTCACTCTCCTAAGCAAACCCTATCCACTAGTAAATACTAGTTATGAACAAACTAACCTTGTTCAAAGGCTGAAACTATTGTTGTTGCTCTCGGTCCTTCACTCCATGATCCATGTAGTGCATTTATTCTCCATATGACCTTGCAAAAGAAACTTTAATTGTTAGCAACTATTCCACAAAGAAAACCAAGCATCAATGATTAACAAAGCCAAGCATCGATTAACAACCATCGAGTATTCACACAAACAATATTCTCATTCACACTTCAATCTATTCATTCACTCATTAACAACCCACACAAGTTTTAAAAGATCTCAAATCCAAACCGTTCACACATGATCCACTATGTAATCGAATTACAATAAAAAAAAACTATCACTAACCATCAAATCCGATTTTATCCATAATATGATATGGATGAAATCCCAATTCCCTATATTGATTATCGCAAACATACACAGAGATTCAGAACACAAAAACCCCTAATTTTGATTCAAACACAGAAAACCCCAAAAATTTCCCCAAATTTTTAAACCCTAATAATTTTCCCAACTCCAAAATCCCTAATTTCAGACGAAATTGATTCAAACTAATGACGATACATCAACCAGACAATCCGAATATGTACCTTCTCTTCGCAAACGACCCTCCGATACGATTAGAAAGCCAACGATCCTCGATCAAAATATGAGGAGATGAGGAGACGAGGAGATGAAACGGATTAGCTTGAGGATTGGGAACCTCTGAGACGATTAGAAGACAGAACTCCAGCCGACGTGGAGATCGTCTCCGATTAACGGTGAACGATTCCGGTGGAGATGTTCGATGAAGAGAGTGAAAAAGGTTTTCTCGGGGAAATATTTTCTAAGTCTGAAATTTGGTATCAGATTATTTTCCCTCATGTGCATCGAATAGGATAGTGCAACGTATCTCATGAACCGCTCATGAGACGGGTCCAAAAACTCTTCTGCAAGACTCGGTTTGATCATTATTGGGCTTTATTTTTTTTTTTTAAATCCAAAAACATTTTGAACCCAATTTTAAAACCTCCTTAAAACCACCGTTGTAGATGCTCTAAAAGATAAAGACTAGAAACCTATAAAAATTTAATCCTTTTTCTAGTAATGAGTAATGACGTATAGAAAGACTAAATGAATGTTGCCCTCTTTTTCAATCTGTGAAACATTTCTAGTAATGATTTATAACCTAGACCTAATTTACATAATTAATTTTTACTTCTTTAAACTTTAAAGAGCTGGATTGTTAGCGTGAGAACAAAAATAAAAACGTAAACACTGTTTTTGTTAAAGACAAGAAAATGTAAACACAAACAAACAAATTAGAATTTTTATATCATAAATTTTCAATAATTGTTTCAGCTTACAAAATTTCTTTACATGCCGATCAATTTCCTTGTAATCATTTACTTCAATATATAACAAGAAAGGTATACACACACAAAATTTGAAGTAACGTATTATAAAAGTACATATTTTATGAGTAGAAAAGTAGGTATTAAAAAGATAAAAGTCTTACCCTAACATTTTACGACCAGAAAAATATGAAAGTCTTGTGCCTGGTCCATGGTTGCGTCTCAGCATTATGCAAAAAGAATTGTGAATTGTGATCATAGAAGAAGACTTGACCAATTACATATTTCCCTAAAATAAATAAACCAAATAATAATTATCTTAATTATGAGGTTAATACATAAGAGTTGACGACAAAACAAAAACAAAAGAATTGGTAAATAAAATAGGTACAAACGGGTCAAAAAAACATAAACGTGTTCTGAGAGTTTCCCAGAAGTTTCCAAGAAAGTCTATTTCGTCAATTCTTTTTTCTCCATCTTCTTGGTTTTACAAAAATCACATCTTTCCTCTCAGATTTCGAAATTGACCCGTCGGTGTTTCTTCATCTCTCCTCTGCTTCTTCTTCCTCTCTCACCAAATTCGATTAGTTCCCTTAGGCGAAAAAAAAACCCGCCATGGATCTACAGCCAGAAGAACTCCAGTTCTTGACGATCCCTCATCTACTTCAAGAATCCATCTCAATCAAGAAACGTTCTCCAAGAACCTTCTACCTCATAACCCTATCCCTAATCTTCCCTCTCTCCTTCGCCATCCTCGCTCACTCGCTCTTCACTCAGCCGATCCTCGCCAAGCTCGACTCGTCCGACCCTCCAAACTCGGATCGTTCCCGTCACGACTGGACCGTACTCCTCATCTTCCAGTTCAGCTACCTCATCTTCCTCTTCGCCTTCTCTCTCCTCTCTACCGCCGCCGTAGTCTTCACCGTCGCTTCTCTCTACACCGGAAAACCTGTCTCCTTCTCCTCCACCATCTCCGCGATCCCCAAAGTCTTCAAACGTCTCCTGATCACTTTCCTCTGGGTTGCTCTGTTGATGTTTGCTTACAACGCCGTGTTCTTCGTTTTCCTAGTGATACTCTTCGTAGCTCTCGATTTGAATAGCATAGGTCTTGCGGTTATCGCCGGAATCTTGATCTCTGTGCTCTATTTCGGTGTTCATGTGTATTTCACTGCGTTGTGGCATCTAGGTAGTGTGATCTCTGTTCTTGAGCCGGTTTATGGATTAGCTGCTATGAGAAAAGCTTATGAGCTTCTCAAAGGGAAGACTAAGATGGCTATGGTGTTGGTCTTTGTTTACCTTTTGGTGTGTGGATTGATCGGAGGAGCTTTTGGAGGGATTGTGGTTCATGGAGGAGGAAAGTTTGGGACTTTGACTAGGACTCTTGTTGGTGGGTTGCTTGTTGGTGTTCTTGTGATGGTGAATCTTGTGGGTTTGTTGGTTCAGAGTGTGTTTTACTACGTTTGCAAGAGTTATCATCACCAGGCGATTGATAAGTCGGCTTTGTATGATCATCTTGGTGGATATCTTGGTGATTATGTGCCTCTTAAAAGCAACATTCAGCTGGAGAATTTAGACTTTTGAATTTATGGAATTGAGCAGAGGATGAAGAAGAAGAAGCTCAAGAGATTCTGGTACTGTTTCCTCTCTCTCTCTCTCTCTCGATGTATGTTGAATTATGTAAGATTTTGAGAGAAGAGAAGAAGAAGTAGAATGTAGAATCTGAATAATAGTTGTAATGTTGATGTGTATGTATAGACTCACACTCTTTGTTGGTGTTTTGATTTGATTAATCCATGGTTTTAAGGATATTGACTTTGCCACTTTGTTTGATCCTTATAACTTCTAATGTTGCTTAATCATTATTGACTCTTTGTACTTTCTTGCGGGAGATTGGATTTAATATGAAAAAAAAAAAAAAAACTGTTCTTAAGTTAACATGGAGGAATCGGCTTGTTTTTGCTTGTTGCTAGCTTTCAACAGCAACATTTGACCTTGGAACCTACACTAAGTTTGGGTCATAGGAGCAAATTTTGTAATGTTTGAAAGTTTGTTGAATTTGTTCATGGTTGAGGGAGGTTTGGTTACACTAAACCGAATGGAAACAAAAATTAAAACCTAATCCAGGAAAAGAAAGAAAACCGATTCTGTTCACTTTTTATATGATTATACTAACTACATCAACAACATTCGCGTTATGAAACCAATTTGATTGACCGAAAAAAAAAATTTGAACTAACTCACTTATTTTTTGTTTGTTTGGTAGTTAGTGAAGTGTTGCATAATATCAACCATTTATCAAACAAACCGAATATTGGGGAGCCAATACGGAATAATCGATAGATTTTGAGTCATCCAATTTAAAATGAAAAGACTTTCTTTTTAAAATGAACAAGTTTAATAGTTGACAACATGTTCAACTTATTTATTAAACTACGTAAAAAGTGTTTGGAAACAGATTCTAAAAATGTCAAAACAGTGTAGATGAAGAGGAAGTCATCGGAATTACGCATTCCAAGTAATTAACTTTCAAAGATACATTTTTAGTAAAAGAGGGAAAAACTTTACAATATGCTGGCTCCATATCGCGTAAATAAAAACAAAAACAAAAAGCATAGTGCATAGACAGTCATCAATCATCTTAATTTAAGGATCGGGTTAGACATTACTAATTTCATTTTACTGTACTTTTATGTTCCAAATTATCAATTATCACTTTAATTGGGCTTTTTATTCCTGAAGTGGGTTCAAATCTCTATGATAATATTCAGCCGTAGGCCCAATAAGAACATCGTCTTTAGTCTTTACACTTCAGATTTTTTTTTTGTAATGGAACTGATACGCTGAGAATAATAATGTCATTCGCAACTTGAGGATTCCAACTTGCAAGCTTCTTATATTATTTGTCAAAATAGTTGACTTATTTTTATGCGTCGAAATCATTTTTGGAAGTTAAATAATCAAGGATAAGATTGCTAAGTTTAGATCCAAATTTGGAAATGAAAGATGTGGCTTGGAAATGGTTAAGAAATAATGTAGACTCTTAAAGTTTTCTCTATGAACGTGTGGAAATATAATTCAAATGCATGTGGGTCAAGCCCACCACATGGACCAGATTTATTGGTAACGTATGTCCCTCTCTCTCTCTCTCATTTGTTGACTATGGTCATATATATACTTGATACAACCATCCGTGGCTGGCCATCATTGATCACTAATTAATTATGTGAATTTTATTTAGTGCTTAATGACTTTTGTGCTTTAAGAACTGATTTTTTCAACAAGAAAATCACTCAAGGTATAGAACATTGTCATCGTAAAAAGAGAAGCAATGAGAGAAAGTTAGAAAGATTTATTATATTTTGAAAATATTTATTTATTATTTATATGAAATACATATTGTCAATTAGGTAAAAATAATGCCTCAAGCTGGAGAAATCTCGAAACACCGTTTGTAGTACCGCAAGTAGTTGGCTTGAGGTGAATAGCATGACACAAAGTGTGAACTCATGATAATTAAGATATGCTTTGTCGAACAATCTTCAAAAACTTGTGTCCATGACTCCATTCTACAAATTAGGTATAGGCTATACATATCTCTTTAGTTAGAAAAGACCGACACAAGACACACAACCTAAGATTTCATCAAAAATCGGAAAATATAGACTCTGCCTAGACCATCACAATCAGGGCTGGCTCGTCCTTAACCCCAACACCTAAACCAGTAAGATAGCTCGCACATCAAAAAATCCCATACCACTTAACTCTCACCTTAAAAGAAAGAGAAAAAAAAAATCAACTTAGTCTTCTGACCAAGGCCTGGAAAATGTAGTACACGACCTATAAGCTCTCCGAGTATAGTCTGGGATGAAGGTACCATAACACTTAATTATAACTCTACCTCGTCCATACTGTTTTGCTCACTCTAATCTCGGCTCAATTAGTATGTAGAATTGAGAATAGCTAAGATACAAAAGTTAGGCTACAAATTTTTTTAATGGAACAAAATAGCATAGAACATGCGCTTACCTACCCCTATCTATCCTTGAAAACCACATAAATGTTCATGATCCAACTCATGCATGATCCAATATCCGACCTCGGACTAGGTATTTTTACGAAAACTCTCTTACCTTTTTGGCTTTTTCATAAAGGGATCAATAATTCTTGCTAAAATCACATCTCATATATATGTTCACAAAATCCGCAAACCGTGTGAGATTAATTGGAATATCTAAAGTCCATATAAATTTTGTAATGGTGAATTTTTTGTATTTAAAATTTAACTACGAAATATGGTTTGTAAAAAGATTTTAGATACGCAAATAATACTCCACTATTTTCATAATTAAATATTTCCTATTAGTTTATAAATATCATTAGCAAAATGTTTTTTAACTATTCTTTCAATTTACTTATTAAACAACATTTTGTCTTTAAATTGGACAGAATAATAAAATAAGGATTAAGAACACTAATATATCGCAATAAACTGATTTAAAGCAAGACATTAAATTATCATTATACCAATTAGCAATAAAGGCTCTAAACAAATCCGAAAACTAAAGGACATGGTTTAGTTAGTGAATCATGTTTTGTCGGCGAAAGATATTAAGTTATTGTTAAACGTCACTTAGTCTAACAGTAACCTAGGTGAGACAAACAATAATCAGAAGATCTTAATCACACGTTGATAAGGAATATTCCAAGGATCAATTTCTTGGATCATATTTCATCATAAAGAAAATATCTGAGAAATCTTAGAAGATAAAAGAGCTTACAGTGTGTGGTTCAAGTGGTCCTATGATTCAAGTACATCAGACTCGGGGGAAAAAGAAAACGATTAAGAAGTACGAACCAAATCAACAAAATCTATGTATGAGTTTTCTAATTATAAATAGATTGGAATCTGATTTTTTTTTTTTGTTGGTACACTATAAACTACAGTAGATTGAAATCTGACTGTCGGATGATGCACATCAAATTTAACAATAATACTGATTGACTAACGAAACCAAATGGAACAAAAAACTGCCGGGCCTATATTTATATGCTAATCTAATAATTAAATTATTTAAACCCATACTATAATACGAAGATAGAAGACAACTACACAGAACCCTAAGTAGATACGATTGCCTATATTGATTCGTTTCATGATATTGCTACTACATTATCGTGCTATGGCATGGGATTGGGAAGCCAATGAGAGTTCACCAGCACAGTTCATGTTAGGTACATAGGGTTCGGTTTGTTCGATTATGTTATGCATTTAAAAATAGTAGTATTTCTTTCGTTTTAAAATAATTAATGTTTAGCAAAAAAGTTATTTCATTTGTAACTGATATTTAACATTTTTAATCCAAAATTTATTAGTATTTTTTTAAAAAAATTTATCACTATTTTATTTTGAAGTTTGTTTGATTATTTGTTGATTTGTGTTAGATAATAATGATTTTTTATTTTAGAAAATAAAAACTTGTTTGATAATATGTGTATAAAATTTTAAACATTAATTATTTTGAACCAAGAGAGAGTAAAAAAAAATTAACTTAGCTTTCAAATCTACTATTCAACCTGGCAAAAATATAAGCGAAAGTTGTAAAAAATGTGAATATATGTTTCATTATTCTGATTCAACAGAATTATATAAAGAAATGTTTGAGTCCAAAATGTTTTAGATTACTAGTATGGACCATGGCACATATATACAATATATTTTTTTATCGCGACACAGGCACACAGCTCACCTTCGCTTGTCTTCGAATTTACTGCCTTAAAGGCACGTTTCTTTCCGGCCGGATGAGTACTTTAGCAGCTTTATATTTTATTTACTTGTATTCTTGTTAACTGTTAGCTTTCATAAAAGACAAACTTCAGTAAAATTTGGTCGTTTGGTTTCATATTATTTTGTCGTATTTAGGTTTTTTGCGTTTGTGTCTTCGCTTCATGGTATTACGCATAGCACGTGATACTAACACGTGTGTCGTCTGAGTACCAAACGGACTTAAACGTCTACACGTGTGCTATATTTTGTTGGTAATATATAAATATAATATGATTTAGGAAGATTGTTAAATCAATATAATAATCTACCATCGAAAGTTGTCTAAATTAGGGTATTCTCAATGGAGATACCCTCATGGGTCTCCAAATGTGTTTTTTATTAATATTATACCAACAAGTAGTTTTAGAGATTGTATGTAGAGACCCTTAATTGTACTTTGTTCAATGGGAGAGATTTACTTGATCTCTAGGAATAGTGGGTGAAGGACGAGTTCACGGCTGGAGAAGGCGGCGACTCTGGGAGAAAGAGGAGATGGTCTGATCAAGGTGCCTAGGAAGCTGATTGTTGCGGTGGGAGAGTCTAAATTTTTGATGTAGTCGCGGATTTGATCTCCAGCTTTAGCTTCGACCATAGTCGCCGTGACGAGATGCGAATCGGCGGTGAGTTCTTCACCGCTTTCAGCTGTGTTCGCGAGAATCATGCCTGCGCCGCCGGCAATCTTGACGGCACTTCTTTTCTCCTGGCGTTTCCTCCTCTGTCGCAGAGAACGATCTTGCCTTCCACCAAGAACGAGTTCAATTTTCCCAGGTAGCACAATCTGCTTCCGCAATCGCCGGAATACATCAGAGAAATCTGAGAATCGGGAAGAGATTCGGCGGCGTACAATGATGTTCCCGTGAAGATAAGCTGACTCAGACATACATGAAAATGAAACCCTGGTGTTTTTTTTCTTCCCATTTCCATTACCCAACCAGTGATTGCCATGTGGCGCTAGAGACGTCTTCAAATGTCGCCAAATAAGAGACGGTTGGGCCAAATTAGAGACGCGGCCCAAATTATTTATTATTTGATCTCTGTTAAAAACGGGTCGCGTCTCTACGTTAATGATGTCCTTATTAGTAGAATCAATATTAGTTTACTACACAAATAATGACTGGTTTATATGGTTACATCTGCGACAAACCCAAAATCCGTTTTTCATTTAACACAAAATGGTCATGGACTAAGATGTATAACCTAATAATTTAGGCTAGTGTTATTGTTATTTATGCACCCATATTCATTACTGATGTTTATGTTTAAACCATAATCTTTGATTTAAAGTTCAATTTATTTTAAAATTTAAGAACGGATGAGAAAGAGATGAAATTTCATTGATATCTAAACAATTAAAAAGGCATTACAATGGAGAAATCATTGCAGTTACTTCTCCATTGTAACTATGACAGTGCCGATTCTTGGCATGTGCCAAAGGTGCAATTGCATTAGATGTAAATATTTTTTTTGCAAATTTTAGTAAAGAGTTTAAGGTCTTTTTTAACAAAATTAAGGTATTTTGTAATAATTATATCTACAAAATTAGATTAGTGTACAGAGTTCATAAAATTTATGAGCCAATTTCTGAACCATGATATTTTTTCTTTGTAGTACTAACGCATCAAATTAGACTTATAAAATATCTCTTAGAGCACAGTATTAAACTATCTGTTAGACCATCTCCAATGTATGTTTCTATTTTTTCCTCTAAAATAAAAGAACTCTAAAATAGAAGTACATTTATCTCTAATGTTTACCTCTATTTTTTCCTCCAAAAAAAAATATTCTCAGTATATTCTTTTTGTTATTTATTCTTAACACCTTTCATTAATAAAATTTATGAATTGACTCCACTTATTTTTTTTAACAAAAGTTCACAATAATATTAAATTTTCATAAATAAAATTTGTGAATTCACCCTTTATTTTAATTTTTATAAAAGTTTCCATAAATTATAGTAATATTAAGCTTTGATTAATAAAAATTTATAAATTAACCCTACTTATTTTAATTTTTACAAAAGTTTCTACAAATTATAATAATACTAGAACTAAAAAATTATAAATTAAAGAAAACATTACATTACATCATATTAAAAAAATATAATAGTTTAATCTTCACCACTGATGTGTTATTTCCAGAAATAATCGTTTATTTTTATGTATTTATAATTTGTAATTCTTTTGTAGTTTAATTTGCAATGAGAACTTTTATATTTAATAATATTATATGTTTTTAAATTTTTTTCTAAACTATAACTAAAATTATCACATTATAAAATTATATATTTGTTGCATAAATAAAAAGATTTAAAAGTTAAAGAAATATTTTATAAATAAAAAAATTCACCTCTATTATAGAGGAAAATAATAGAATTTTTCTATATTTCGAGGAAAAAATAGTAATCTCTATTTTAAATGTGAAAATAGAGGTAAGTTGGAACATAAACTCTATTTTTAACTCTAAAATAGAGATATGTTGGAAATATTCTTATACGTACACCATATATATATATATAATTTATAACACATGCTGCCATGCATAACACTAAATTAATTAGTTTCTCTTAAGTGACTGGGAGGATCTAAATCTGAAGTATTAAAGTCAATAAATAATGGACCAGCAATTTGTTCTTTTCATTCATATCATCATTTTACCAAATTAATTGGTTTTTTCTTAAGTAACTGGGAGTATCTAAATCTGTAGTAAAGTCAATAAATAATGGACCAGCTTTGTTCTTTTCATTTCCGGACAAGGACCACTTTGTGTTACCGTATCAGCTGTCTTATTGTTATATTTAGCATACAAGCACGTGGCTGTACAGTAGTAATTAGTACACATAGTAGTAACATATGAATCCATACACATATTGTTTTTAAGTTAAACACCACGAAGTAATATCATTAGTGTAGGCCAGATATCTTTATGATCTTACACTTTGTCTATGATCATTCTATATTACTTGGAATCATTTTTGATTAAAAACAAGACAAAGTATTAATTAGAATCTACAATTAAATTTGGTCCACGTTATTTTTTTTTTTGGTTACCCAAAAGGACAAAGTACGAGACCGCTTGCTATATAAGTTTATTATATTTTCGCCTAAAATGGATAGCATCCTTTGATGTGGTCAACGTGTTTATAATTTATAAGCAAAAATTTCACAAAGTCTAAGCAATTTTTTCACAAATTCTAATTTAGAAATTTATAATCGAACACTTAATAAAATTAGAAGAGTAAATGAAGTGTTGATCTTCCTTTCAGATTTCAAATTAATAAATTTTTAAAAATAGGAGAGGAATTGAAGAAGGCATCATCATAGCGGCTAGAGGGTTCTTCCGTTGATGATCATCTTACTCACAAGAATCATTGACAAGACTATAATAAGCTCGTTGAACTACAGTGCGCTGTTCAAGCTTAGAGGGTTCTTCCGCTGTTGGTTCATCTTCTTTCGTTCTTTTGAATTTTGAATCTTTTTTTTTTAATTGTACATACACTATTTTTATTAAGCAATAAATTTGAAATTTCAAAAATGAAAATATAAGTTTTGATTCGAGATACAAAAAGCAGGGCACTATACTATATTAAAAATACTTTGGCTGTAAGAAAGTTAGATTCATTAGGTTAAAAATTAGGATACACTAATAAAAATATACAGTAAAAACTTTATAAATTAATACTGTTAAAACTCTTATATTTTATTAATTTAGAGAGTTATTAATTTATAAAAAGATTAATTAGATCAAAATTTACATTAATATTGTTAGAACTCTTATAGAGTTTCTACTGTAGTTTTCAACTTTTTCTTATATACTGCGTAAATGATTTCCATATGTATTTCAGATTGTTGTTCCATTTGAATTAAGTCCACGTTGTACCTAACTTATAGAAAATACAGTGATAACTTTTCTTTCTGGAAAGTTATAATATAATTCGCCCTTTAACAAAAAAAAAGTGGAGTATAATATAATCGATCGTCTAATCGAACACTAAATAAAACCACTTGTTTAGTTTTGATTCAGTATAATGGGGTTGGTTTACGAATTAAGCTATTTTTCATTAACTAATGTGAGTTTAACTTATTTTAATAAATAAAAAGCTTTATGTTTAACTCTGCAATCTCAATTGATGATCAATCAATTTATTTACAAGAGGATGAATTGTGTTTTAAAAGTAAATTGTGGTATATTAATGAGATTAATAAACTGCATAAATATAGTCAGAGTTTATAAGGTAAATTGGATTATTATATACTGCTACGAATGAGTTGTATAAGAGCATATACATCAGGGGATTAAGAGGGGTTCATAGCACAGTTTTTGAGATAAAAGAGTTTAATCTTAAAGAGACAAGACGGTATTATCCGAAATGGAATATTCTGATTGGTCAAAAATTATAATTTTCGAACTAAATAAAAAAAAATTAAAACAAAAAAATATTATTATATTCTAATAAACCCCTTTCTTAGGGGTTCATGTACATGCTATAACTTGGTATTTTGCGATATATACATGAAAAATAAATGCATGTAGTAGTTAAAAATTTAATACATGTAAGAAAAGGGACTAAATCATGTTGCCAAAAAAGACAGAGAGACTTCGAGAGTAGTACAATTTCTACAAAGGAAGTTTAACGCTAATTATTTATTCTGACTTCAAAAAGAAAACGTATCTCTCGTAATCATATCTCCTCTATCCCTCTCAGCCTCTCTCTCTGTCTCTCTCCGGGAGAATAACCGGAGAAAATATAAAGAAACCAGTAATCTCTTTGTTTCTTTCAGTCATTATCTGAAAAAAGATTAGGAAAATATTATTATTTTTGTGAAAGGGAGAAAAATTTCTTAAACCCAATTGTTCTTTCTCTTCGATCGTCACCGTTATTCTTCTGGATTGGGTTGGGTAATTCGCAGAGATTTTCTGGGTTTTGTATTAATTGATTCTCACTGTTGCTGATTCGACCCGGAGCCACCAAAGTAAATGCTCTGTAACGTGGAAAACATTTTCTTTTCTAGAGAAAATTTTCGAACTCATTCGGTTTCTCCATAGCTATAAGCTTTGGGTTTTTAGGGTTCTTTTTGAAAAAGAGGAAAAAAAATTAAATTTTTTTGGGTAGAAATTTGATAGTGCATATTCAGAACAGAAAAAGTTTAAACCTTTAATCGTTTGTTACCTTTTTTCGATTTGTCTACATTTTAAGTATGGATTTTTGCTCAATTTAGGTGTAAGTACACAAACAGATTTTTTACTTCTCTTTCAATTCTTTTGCCTTTTTGTGAAAATCGCATGTATCTTGTGATTTTCCCATTTTTATTCCTCGTTTTGGGATTCATAAATTCTCTGTTAATTGAGGAAATTCATAGAATTCAAGTGATTCAAAATCGAGTCAAATTCAGGGTTTTTGTTTCCTTGTTTGGGTAGTGAAGATCAGGGCGTGTGGATATAGAGATTCAGGGTTCTGGGTTTATAGCAAAAAAGGTTTCGTGTGTTTTTAGAATCAAAGGTGATATTTTTCTGTTCTCGAGAAAACAAAAATGGCGGCAAGAGTAGAAGCATCAATTGGTAGTGAGATTGGTGAAGAGACTGATGAGAGAGGAAGTATGTGGGACTTGGATCAGTCGCTTGATCAACCTATGGATGCAGAAGCTGGTCGGCTCAGGAATATGTATAGAGAAAAGGTTTAAATATCAAATCTTGTTTTCTCTTCGAATCTAAATTCTGAAAATTTTCCATGTTTATATCGAAATTCAGCTCCTTCAAATGCTAAATCGTATTGGTTTATGGTTGTTTAGTTGCTCTTTGGATTGAAGAAACAAAGAAAGTGACATAAAGGGAGAAACTTTTAGTTCTTTAAGATATAATGTAGTATTCGTTTTTTCGCAGAAATTCTCGGCCTTTCTGCTTCTGCAACTCTCGTTTCAGAGCCTCGGTGTTGTTTATGGAGATTTGGGAACTTCTCCTTTATATGTTTTCTACAATACATTTCCTCGCGGGATTCAAGACCCTGAAGATATCATTGGAGCTCTATCGCTAATCATTTATTCCCTCACACTCATCCCTCTCCTCAAATACGTTTTCGTTGTATGCAAAGCAAACGACAACGGTCAAGGTAGTAACGTCACATCTTTTACTTACATTCTCATTTATACGTATTGCTTTCTTTGCTTTGAATGATGTCTTGTTTGGTGAATAGGTGGAACATTTGCTCTGTATTCTTTGCTCTGTAGACACGCAAAAGTGAACACAATCCCGAACCAACACCGTACAGATGAAGAGCTCACAACTTATAGCCGTTCTACGTTTCATGAGCATTCTTTTGCTGCAAAAACCAAGAGATGGTTAGAGAAAGGTCCCTCTAGGAAAAACTCGCTGCTTATTCTCGTTCTTGTCGGTACTTGCATGGTGATCGGTGATGGAATCCTTACACCTGCCATTTCTGGTAATGCCATTACTCACTTACCTTCCAAATATATACCATTTTGCAAGTATCTCAGTGTCTTTAAAATCTGTTGTAGTTCTATCTGCTGCTGGTGGGCTCAGGGTTAACCTTCCTCATATAAACAATGGTAAAGCTCTATTCTACAGTGCCATTTACTTCAGTGTTGATAATTTGATTGATCAGATTTAGGCTTTGGTTGTTGTTGTTGTTGTTGTTACAGGTGTTGTTGTTGTTGTTGCGGTTGTGATATTAGTGAGCTTGTTTAGTGTACAGCATTATGGAACAGACAGGGTCGGTTGGCTTTTCGCTCCTGTTGTGTTCCTCTGGTTTCTCTTTATCGCGAGTATTGGTATGTACAATGTGTGGAAACATGACCCGAGCGTCTTGAAAGCTTTCTCTCCGGTTTATATATATCGGTATTTCAAAAGAGGAGGTCAAGATCGATGGACCTCTCTTGGAGGCATAATGCTTAGTATCACTGGTAAAAGAAACTGATCAAAATATTGTTATCGTCTTCTTCATCTTATCACCTTTTTTTGTTTTGTTATTCATTTGCTTCTTGTTTCAGGGATCGAAGCTCTCTTTGCTGATCTATCACACTTTCCAGTCTCAGCTGTGCAAATTGCTTTTACTGTAATTGTTTTTCCTTGCCTCCTCTTGGCGTATAGTGGACAAGCTGCTTACCTTAGGAAGTATCCACATCATGTAGAAGACGCGTTTTATCAATCCATTCCAAGTTTGTTATATCTTTTGAATCAATCTCATTTTTATAGAATGTTATCTCTGGACAATAAACTCAAATGAAAGTTTCTGTTTTTGTGTTTCTTGTTGTTGCAGAGAGTGTTTACTGGCCAATGTTCATAGTTGCAACATTTGCTGCAATAGTTGCAAGCCAAGCCACAATATCAGCGACATTCTCGTTGATCAAGCAAGCTCTCGCTCACGGATGTTTCCCTAGAGTCAAAGTCGTGCACACTTCCCGGAAGTTTCTTGGTCAAATCTATGTCCCTGACATAAACTGGATCCTCATGATCCTCTGCATAGCCGTAACCACCGGATTCAAGAACCAGAACCAGATAGGAAACGCTTATGGCACAGCGGTTGTGATCGTCATGCTCGTCACAACTCTTCTCATGATGCTGATCATGATACTCGTTTGGCGTTGCCATTGGGTCTTGGTCCTCTTGTTCACCGTTCTTTCCCTTGTCGTCGAATGCACTTACTTCTCTGCCGTGCTCTTCAAGGTAAACCAAGGAGGTTGGGTGCCACTTGTCATCGCTGCGGCGTTTCTCATCATCATGTACGTATGGCATTACGGAACGCTCAAGAGGTATGAGTTTGAGATGCATAGTAAAGTCTCCATGGCTTGGATTCTTGGTCTTGGTCCTAGTCTTGGTCTTGTCCGTGTTCCCGGGATTGGTCTTGTTTACACCGAGCTAGCTAGTGGAGTGCCTCACATCTTCTCTCATTTCATCACAAACTTGCCTGCGATTCACTCTGTGGTGGTCTTTGTTTGCGTCAAGAACCTCCCTGTCTACACTGTACCAGAGGAAGAACGGTTCCTCGTGAAAAGAATCGGGCCAAGAAACTTCCACATGTTCCGCTGCGTCGCGAGGTATGGATACAGAGACTTGCACAAGAAAGATGATGACTTTGAGAAACGGCTCTTTGAAAGTCTCTTCCTTTTCGTCCGACTTGAGTCAATGATGGAAGGCTGCTCGGATTCCGACGAGTATAGCGTCTGTGGAAGCCAACAACAACAACAACAAGTCAGAGACGGGCTTGGGGATGGATACGAGAGTAGGAACTTGTCGACTTTTGATACGTTTGATTCGGTAGAGTCAGTGATAGTACCTGCAGGGGGAATCAAACGGACGAGCCACACTGTGACGGGGTCGAGCCAGATTAGCGGAGGAGTGGACGAGCTGGAGTTTATAAACAGGTGCAGAGACGCAGGAGTGGTGCATATTATGGGGAACACAGTGATTCGAGCTAGGAGGGAAGCGAGGTTTTACAAGAGGATAGCTATTGATTATGTGTATGCGTTTCTTAGGAAGATTTGTAGAGAGAATAGTGCTATCTTCAATGTTCCTCAGGAAAGCCTTTTGAATGTCGGGCAGATTTTTTATGTGTAATGCAATGTATCATGTAAAGTGTAAGACATGATTGGTTTTATATGTTGCTAGAAGCTGTTAAAGATAATAATAGTAGTTTATGACCATTTAATATAAATACCAATGGAGTCAGGACCGGATCTAAGATTTTGAGGGTTTGAAACAAAATAAAAAATAAAGGTCGCTATTTTTTTTTATAAAAAAAAAATTTAGATAAAAAAACTTTTAAAAGTGCGAACGTACTAATATTAATGATACACAAGTAATTCCAAAAAAAAAACTAATAGCAATCTATGGATTTCGAAAAATAAGTCTTCTTATATTTTTCTCCGCAAAATCATTTATCAAACTTTGGTAGTTAAGCTTTCCAACCATATCTCTCTTAATTGACAACATTGCCAAACCATTCAGTCTCTCCTCTGACATAGTTGACCGCAAGTAAGACTTTATTAACTTCAGCTTGGAAAAACTTCTTTCAGCCGAAGCAGCAGAAACTGGAATAGTTAGCATCACTCTATATGCAATCCACGTATTTGGATAACCATGACCTTCAAATCTTCTTAAAAAATCTAACACTTCAACAGCTTTCTTGATCTCAGTTGGCAAAACATTTCTTAGAATTTTGATCTCTAGATATAAATGATATCCATCAATGTCTGAATTGGCACCATGTTTAAGAGAAGATTCAAGGTTGATACATTTTGCCTTCAAACTATCATCCGTTGCCGATTTGAGCTTATGTAGATCAAACAAAAATCCAAAAGTTTTTTCATACTCTTCAAATTGTTCAAACCTTATTTGAAGAGATACTATAGCTTGATCCACGATTCTCAAGAAATAATCAATCTTAAACTTCTCTTCCTCACTTAGCATCTCAGATTCATCATCTCTTTTTACTGCTTCATCAAAATGCTTCTTCTTTTTAATAATGCGCTTTCGTTTCACTGAAAAGTCTGGTTCGATATCCATAGACTCTGCAATAATTTTAGCTTCTGCTTTTGCTTTTTCAAATCCAGTTTCTCTATAGTTTTTCAGAAACGATACTAACCCTTTCAATTGAACAATAGCATTATCAATATCAATATGCTCTGATTGCATCATCTTACTTACGGTATTGACGGCAAACAGAAGATCATACCAAATAACCATACCAAATAAGAACTCAAACCCTCCAATTCCATGAGTTTCGCTTGTGGCAAGAGCTTCAGCATCGCTACGAGCTCCAGGATCATCACAGTTTTCTGCCAAGTAATCCAAAGCATCTCTTATTTTTGGAGCTTGAAATCGAATTGCTCGAACACTTTCAACGCGACTTTCCCAACGAGTTTCTGATAGTGACTTAAGTGTGAGACCTCCTACCATCTGCTTAAATAGCTCCCACTTATTTGAAGATGATGAAAACAAACAATATATCCGTTGAATGATTCCAAAGAAAGCAATCGCTTTTGAAGATGATTTAGCCATATCAGAAAGTGCCAAGTTAAGACTATGACAACCACAAGGTGTATAAAATGCTCTTGAATTGATGTCAAGCAATCTTTTTTGTACTCCTTTGTGTTTTCCCTTCATATTATATCCATTGTCGTAGCCTTGCCCTCTCACATCATCAATACTCAAATTAAGACCAACCAATGTCGAACAAAGCAACTCAAAAAGCCCTTCTCCAGATTTATCTGCAACTTCTAAGAATGTCACAAAAAACTCTTCAACTTGTGTTTTAGCCATGTAGACATCCACACATCTGATAATAAGACTCATTTGTTCTTTATGACTCTTATCTGGAGTGCAATCGAGAATAACGAGAAATATTTGGCTTCTTGATTTTTTTTTGATGATCATAGATTTGACTTCAGACCCTAGCATAACAATCAACTCATCCTGAATAGTGTGGCTTAAATAGTGATAATGAATCTCACCTCCTTTAACCCGTCTGATATGCTCTCGCATGACTGGATCAAAACCTCCAAATGATTCAATAAAACTCAGAAAGTTTCCATTGTTTCTTTGACCAAGCTTTTCATTAGTCCCACGAAAAGCTAAATTTTGTTTAGCAAGAGTTGTCACCAATGAAAATATTCTCAACAAAACCTCTCTCCAATGGGTTTTCTCTTTATTAATTTCTTCTTGGAGACCCTTATCAATCGTCTGATTCTTCTTTAGCCTAAATTCTAATTCCATCCACCGACTCATACACCAAATATGGTAGTGACTAGTTTCATGTTGACTCAGTCGTATCTTGATATTCTTCCAATCATTGAACCCCTTGCTTGACAACTGATTAGTATCTTGATCTCGACCAAACAACTTGCAGCAAAAACAATATGCTCGATCTGATACTTTTGAATAAAGTAGCCAATTCCGATCTTGTTTCTCTCCATTTATCAAGTCTCTTATATAATACTTGCAAGAAAAATGCCGACCATCATTATTTTTTGGAAATACATAATTCTCATATGCTCTTTTCATAGGACCTTTTTTCACTAGATAATCTTTCAAACTCTGATCAATTATTTTCCAGTTTGCAGGATCAGTTCTATCCAAAATTCTCTCTTGTTCTTGAGTGTTCAAATCATCTTTTTCAGATATCTTCTCTTCTTCCTCTGTCTTATCATTCTCTAAACCAGTAAGATTTTCATCACAAACTCCACCGCCCTCATTCACATCTTCTTCAGATCTCTTCTCTTCTTCCTCTGCCTTATCATTGTCTAAACTAGAAGGATTTTCATCACAAACTCCATCACCCTCATTCATTGAAGAGTTTTTGATCTTTTAACAAACTTCAACATAGAATTTGCTTGAGACTTATCAGATTTTTCTTTTCTTTTCTTCTCTCTTGCTTTTTGAGCTCCTGATTTACACTTTGTTTTTCGTATTGAAATTCCTAGAAATTTCATGTTTAAGAATAAAAATCAAAATTCCAATTCTAAACAGAAAAAAGAAATATCAATTTTTAATTTTATTACTTAAAAAAATTACCTGACATTGCTAGATTTTGATTGTGATTAAAACAGAAATAAATTGATTTGAGAAATGCCGGCCAAAACTTCTGTGACTCGTCGGCGATAGGGTGAAACCGGATCAGCTAGATTCGACTATAACCAAAAAATTTGATGATAACTGAAAAATTGCCCGAGTTATTAACAAAACCGATTATTAATCGGTTAAACCGGTTAAATATTATACTGGTTGAATTTTGTCAAGTTTTAGTAAAATTAGACAAATATTATGTGGGTTTTATTCAGGCTCGTATGAGTTAAAAATGCTGGAGCATATATTCTATTTATACAGAAAAGTGAGACGTTCTTTTCACTCAATTGTCGATGTGAGATTTTGAAAAAGTTGTTTTCTTTAACTTTTTTTCTGGGTCTGGTCGAAATGTGCCTAAATATTTGAACTGAAATTTTTTTTTTTTGAATTTTTATGGACTGAATACAAAATTAATGGGCTGAATTTTAGTCAAAAAATATGGGGGCCTGAAACAAATGTTTCATTGGGCTTTGCCCAAATCCGGTCCAGTCAAATTCAACTAAAGTTTTCTAATTTCTAATCTAATTTTAGAGGTTTCTTACTTCAAATACATAGTTATCAAAGTCAGCATATTGATTTTTTTCTTCAGCGGTGTAAGATGAATTGATTTGAATCATTTGATGGTTATCTTTGAGGATTTTATGGAAAATAACTCTAAAGAATCGGCATATCTAAAATTCTCAGCTAGATTTTTAAGATAGAATCCATCAACTAAACATTTGTTATTGAAATTCACCACCAGTCTATAGAAAATCTTGAGTGGCTTTCCTTTAATGAAACACATCACTTTATGTTTGCTGGTAGAACGTCATAGTTACTTTTAATAACAATATTATGTTCGATATAGAAAAGAAATCGATACATTAAATTTTCAATTGTGTATGAAACCTATCTTAGCTAAGAATGTTAACAAATAGTCAAATACTATTATTTTCTTATAACTACTTTAAAAATGATATTTCTCTATCTTTTAAAATAACTACAGTTTTTTTTTTTTTTTAAGTTCAAGGATTAGACGACTTATTTAAGCTCAAGGATTTAAGACAAGTTCTTGAGGATTGGGCAACTTATTTGTCTAACGAAGACCCAGAAAGAGGGTTTCGACAGCTGATGAATTGCCGGAGAAGTCTAAGGCTGAGGTCTTACAAAAGGAGAGGTTGATTTCGTTCCCGTGACATTGGTGGAAAGCAAAATAAAATACCCAAATGAAGAAAAAATATCATGTTCACTACATTATAGATTAACTCTTAATATATAATAATGACTAGATTGAAATTTGATTCGTTGTTACCAAGATCTCTCTAGAACCTTGGATTTTTTGTTTGTGTTTGCCTTTGGGTTATAATTAGTGTAATTTTTTTTTCAAAAGAACCCATGACCTTAGAAGTTTTTTTTGTTATTACCTTAGAATTTACATTGGAAATAATCAAGATTTGAGTTAAAATAGTAGAGAAGCACAGGCCGTTTATTTGACTACGAAGAGCCGTAGAAAGTTGTATTCAATCAGATGCAGTTTAATTGACTTACCAACAATGATATCTAAGAACAGCAATCCTTTGTGTGTGAATTAAGTACCCGGAAATGCTCCAAAATCGACCCAAATCGGTAGAGATGTCAAATCAGGCTTGCTATTATTTGTCTTTAGGAGGATATTCCAGGAGACAAGAGCAGGCGGAGGAAGAATTTACGTTTACTAACATGTTTTTCTTGTGAACTTTATTGACCTTATATAAAGTTATAATCTACAAAGAATTTACGTTTGTAACATGCACTAGTGACAAGTCTACAAAGAGTTTGATAGTTTTTAATATGTTATCCGATTTCAGTCAAATCAATTTATTTTTATATTATCCAAGGAATCAAAAATTTCATTTTCTTATACTAAAAATAGAAGTAACATCAATTTTCTATCATGTAAAGCTCGACAATCATCTAGCTTTTTTCTTCAGTACGACAATTATCTAGTTAAAATCACAAATAAACTCATGATAGAAATATGCTAATAATATAAATACGTGCACGTTGCCGTGACAAATTATTAGTCACCTACTTGCCAAGGAAAGAAACATTATAATTAAGCTGATAATATATATATTAAGTTAGTATATCATATACACTTCTCTCAACACTTTACTAAGAAAGAGATTTGAGTTAAGATTAAATATGATCATAAGTAAGAAAACGGCGGCTGAACCTGCAAACGTTAGCGTCTACGATCCAGAGTCGCAGCCGCAGAAGCAAACGCTACATCAAGTACTGCTAGCAAAGTGGAGAGACGTGAATATGATTGTTTTTTCCGTTACTCTTACACTCTTCCTCTGTCCACTTGTCTACCATTCAGCGTCTCGTCTCATGACGCAATCACTGCCGCAAAGTTCAAACGTTTCTGCATTTGAGCCGCATCTGATCACTGCTAAACACGATTTTAACAACACCGACACCGTTAGTAATCTATCCATACATATATACAGTATCATATTATAAGCTAAATTTAAGTTTATCTATATATATGTGGAGAGTCTACAATATACTAAATTAGAATGGTTGCTATTTTGTATTCTATAAAAAATCTATTATATTTTGACAATGTGAAAGCTTATACTCGTGTATATGCAAATGCAAATAAAACGCAGAAATTGCGTTTCTAACAATCGAGGTCTTACGCTAGATTTTTGGAATGAAATTTCCGATTAGTTATATATATATATATATATATATATATATAATTCTTTGTGTTGCTATAAAAAGATTGCATAATATAGTTTCTTTTGGTGAATTGATAGTTTGAGGCAGAAGATAGGGGAAATTTGGCGAGAATCTTGAAGGAAGCATCGATGAAGGAGAAGAAGACGGTGATAATAACGATGATGAATCAGGCTTGGGCCGAACCAAATTCTACGTTTGACGTATTTCTTGAAGGCTTTTACGCCGGCGAAGGGACAGAGAGACTGCTACTTCACGTGGTGGTGGTATGTTTGGACGAAAAGGCCTACTCACGGTGCAATGAGGTCCATCCTCGCCGTTGCTTCTTGTTGAGGACTACCGGAGTTGATTTCTCCGGCGAGAAGCGGTTCATGGTGCCTGATTATCTCAAAATGATGTGGCTTCGAGTCGAGTTCTTGGGTTCTTTGCTAAAGCTTAGATATAACTTCCTCTTCACGGTAACTTTTCTTTACCTCATTTGCATTAATACGAAGCCTTTTTTTTTTTTTTTTTTGCTTCTTGTTTCAGTCTCAATGTTTGCATGTTAAAATTAATGGCTTGCTCACTCTGAAATAAAATACAACATATATGTTTATCAATTTTCATTTGAGAATTGTAAACATCAAAAACGTAGATGAAAATGATTTCTTGTGTTTCTGTTTTCGCATTTGTAGTTGTTGAAATTTTGTTTTCAAGTTATATTTCATGAAATTAAAGCAAACAAATTAATCTAAAATATAAGAATAAATAGAAACAAAGATAACCACACACACCCAAATAAAATTATCGGAACTTTCTAGCGAAAGAATATCTTCAAGATATCAATTACAAGTTTTTTTTTTTTTTTTTGCTACCACAAGTTTGAAATTTTGGAAAACAGGATATGGATACAATGTGGCTCCGAGATCCATTCCCTGGACTATTTTCAGCGGTAGATTTCCAAGTCGCTGGAGATTACTATTATTACAATGGAAATTCTAGCGACACACGCAACAGAGCTAATGGTGGCTTCAATTTCGTCGTGTCAAACCACAGAACAATCGAGTTTTACAATTACTGGTATGCGTCGAGGCTGAGATTCCCGGGTAAAAATGAGCAAGTCGTGCTGGAGCGGATCAAACATGATCATTTTATTAAAAAATTAGGACTCAAGATGAGGTTTCTTGATCCAGTTTACTTTGGCAATTTCTGCCAACCAAATTGGGATATTAGCAAAGTCTATCTAATGCATGGCAATTGCTGCGGTGGTAAAAGGAACAAGGTTAAGGATTTAAGACAAGTTCTTGAGGATTGGAGAAATTATATGTCCGTAGCTGCTTCTGGGAAAGCCAATGGCCGCAAGTTAGGGTTTCGAAAACCGATGAATTGCTGGAAAAGAGCGAGGAGACATTAGTGAAATTTGTATTTGGGGGAAAAATATGTTTTTATGAATTCACCTCGTTTTAGTGATCCTGGTGTTAGTAGAAGCAGAAGTAAAAGTCTTGTCACATTACATTCTCAAGAGTAGTAATAATAATGGCTATGCAAATTCGGTGCATTTTTTAATAAATCACCATTGCCAATTATTGTAAACGATGTGTGAGATGATATATATTTGCGTGTAAAAGTTTGAGGAAATTTCTAATAACTCATTGGTTTGTTTTTTTGCTATCATGTATCCAACTGCTACCTAAGAAAAAAGTAATCTTAACAATTATAGCTATTATGCAAATATGAATCCAAAAATTATACTCTCAGAAACTAATTCTTCAATTGATGAACTTTACAAATGTGTAGAAAGCTTTGTCGACTATTTTGATAACTAGTTAATTTTGCATATTATATTTTAACACTATAGTGAGTCTTATACGTTTGTAAGTGACAACATTTATAGAAAAAAAATTTGAATACGCCAAAATTAATCTCACTAAAGCGATTTTTTTTTTTCATCCACAAAAGTTAATTATCTTACCAGGTAGTTTACGTTCACGAGTGCCTTGAAAAAAATATACTCACCTACTTCTACTCGACAGAGAAAATTAAATATACATATAATGCTTATGGTGACGCATCTTTTTCACAATAATATTCAGTCAATATCAGCAACTTTTAGCAATTACATGAGAAAACGATTTTTGAGAAACATCTTAAAATTCTTCGTGTGTCATTACAATCTTATGGACTCGATCCCATGTTATGATATATGTAAGCGACTAATCCGTGCATTTGCGGTTTACAATCTATTATATTAAAACAGAAACACTTTTAGTGTTTGTTTCTAAACACTACCAAAGTTTTTTTAAAAAATATTTTTTTATATATAGAAATTTAATTTCGAAAATTAGATATTAATTTAGATAACTAAAAATATTCTTAAATATAGATTATATCTATAGTCTATAGATATTAATTTAAATAGACTTTCTTAAATTTAGGTTAGATTTAATTTAACATTTAAATTTAAATAAGATTTTCAGAATAACACATATGATTAACAAATATCTTATTATATTTTTTTTAATCATATTTTATCAAATTAAAATTTCACATATTAAAAATAGATAAATATTAATATTATATAATAATTTGATAGGACAAGTTAAGTTTTTTTTTTATAATTATGTTTTTATGCAGGTTAGGTTATCAAAGCATGCAAAATATTAAGAGAAAATTATTTCAAAATTAGTAAATATTTATATTATAAAGTAATATAAACGGTCGGGTTAGAATTATAATTTTATAATCATAGTCTTTTCGGATTAATAAAATAAGCGAGTTAGAAATATATTTTTATAATAACGGTTACTTTTTGATTAATAAAATAACCAGGTTACAATTATGTTTTTATGATTATGGTGGTCATAATAATACTGAAGGAAAAAAAATATATATATCTAAACACAAATTGTTTTTATATAACTTATTAAAAATTATATTTATAAAGAAAACATAAATTAGATTACAATTTTATTAAAACAAAATTTCGATTGCATGGGATAAAATTTAGTTCGAGTTTAAATCTTGATACAATATAAATTCTCTCTCCGATTCCTTATTTTTTTAATATAATTTTTTTGTATATGGCTAAGCAACTCACTTTCATTTACCACTAAAGTAACTCTTATACGTTTGTAAGTAAAATCATTTATAGGCAAAAAAAAATCTTCATTTGATCGTATTGATTTACATTTATACGCAATCGCAAAAGCTAATTAGCTTTACCAGCTAAATCAATTACGTTCACGGTGTGCCTTGAAAAAAATATACTAACCTATTTCTACTTGGCAAGAAAAATAAATATATTTTTATATGCATATAGAGACTCAACTTTTCACAACAATATTCAATTTAGCTCTCATATTGAAATTTACATTTTATGTTACATGGAAAAACAACATTTTGAAACAAAAAAGAAACATTTTTATATTCGTTCCATTTTTCTTGGCGTTTATCTTTACAACAACCAAAAAAAAAAAAATCGCTTCAAATAAACACAAACGCAAACGCCAAAAAAAAAGATCGAAGATTTAATCTGTACGTTGCGAGATTTCACACGACAATGACCGAACATGTTATAAAACAATATACGTAACAAATGAGTCCGGAAACACATACATATAAGCGATACTATAAGAGAAAGAGATTGGACTTAAGACAATATTATGAAATATGATCATCTCTAAGAAAACGGCAGCCAGCTTTAACACTACCGTTAACAACGGTAGCGGCGGTCTAGAGTCGCAGCCGCTGAAGCATATGTTGCCGCAACTTCAAGCAAAGTGGAGAGAACTTAAATGGATAGCTTGTCTCTTGGGTTTGACAGTTTTGCTTTCTTTAATTGTCTACCATTTGGCCTCACTTGTTCAGCCACTGCCTCTACCGCTACCGCAAATTTCCAGCTTTTCAGCGTTTGTGCCACCGTTGATCACTGACAAACAAAAACCTAACTACACTGAAACCGTTAGTAACCTTATTTTCATGTTTTACATTATTATTATATCATCGGAAACATGTTTCTATATGAAGTTTACGTATGTTGAAGATTAAGTAATCTACAACACATAAATTTCGTAAATTTTGTATTGATTTTGTAATTTTTTTGCTTTGTTTGGTTGGTAGTCTGAGGAAGAAGATAGGAGAAATTTGGCAAGAATCCTAAGAGAAGCATCGACGGAAGAGAAGACGGTGATAGTGACTATGATGAATCAGGCTTATGCGGAACGAAACTCAACATTCGATGTGTTTCTCGAGGGCTTTCGAGTCGGCAACGGCACTGAGAGACTGCTCCGTCACGTTGTGGTGGTGTGTTTGGACAAGAAAGCTTACTCACGGTGTGTGGAGGTCTTCCCTCGCCGTTGCTTTTTTCTGAGGACAGCCGGAATTGATTTCTCCGGCGAGAGACTGTTCATGGTTGGGGATAATCTCAAGATGATGTGGCGCCGAACCGAGTTCTTGGGTTCTTTGCTTAAACTTGGATATAACTTCCTCTTCACGGTAGCTCTCTAAGCTTATCGAATGCATTTATTAAAGAAAAAGATTACTGTTACTACTCGTTTCGTTTTAGTTTAGTTATAACTTGTTATGAAATTTTATCATGACCGACTAAGAAGTTTTGATTTTGCTATTAAAACTAATGAAACCAATCGAGTTATAAACAAATTAATATTGGTTTCGGCTTTAAGAATTTATGTTTGGTTTTAAATCCTTTTTCGTACGTACTACCACCTCTATCAATTTATTTTATAATGTCTTCAGATTTAATATTGTTTTAGGACATGGATACACTGTGGCTTCGAGATCCATTTCCTCGATTCATTGCAAATGTAGATTTTCAGATCGCTTGTGATCACTTCAATGGAAACGTCAGTGACACTCACAATTATGCCAATGGGGGATTCAAATTCGTCATTGCCAACGACAGAACAGTAGAATTCTACAAATATTGGTATGAGTCCAGACTGAGATTCCCCGGAAAAAACGAGCAGGACGTGACTAACAAAATCAAAGACGATCAATACATCAAAAAGATTGGGCTGAAGATGAGGTTTCTCGACGCGACACACGTTGGAAATTTCTGCCAACCAAACTGGGATATTACCAAAGTTTGCGTAATGCATGGGAATTGTTGCATTGGACAAGATAATAAGCTCAAGGATTTAAGACAAGTTCTTGAGGATTGGACGACTTATTTGTCCAACGAAGATCCAAAAAGAGGGTTTCAACAGCCGATGAATTGCCGGAGAAGTCTAAGGCGGAGGTCTTACAAAAGGAGAGGTTGATTTCGTTTCCGTGACATTGGTGGAAAGTAAAGAATAATAGCCAAATGAAGCAAAAAAATATCATGTTCAACAATACATTATAGTGATTGGAGATTGTTGTTACTTGACGACCCATATATTATTAAACACATTAGATAAACCCATACCTTAGAAGGTATGCAGAGTGTTTGTTTCATCTGTCTGTATCGCTGGCTAATTTCTAGAGGAATGCTTATTAAACTCTGTTTTGTATTTTAACTGTTTTTTGTTTTTTGTTTTTTTTTTTAGTTTTCATGTCGTTAAAACCTGGCAATACTTAGAGTGGGGCAGCTTTGCTACTGCAAAGTAACATTATGGAAGAATTGGACAGTATTCCACATGAGCTTAAGATTAAATTTCTGGAACACAAGTTGCTGATTACAGATAACAGACACAGGTTTCTCCATCTAGTTAGAGGAGGAGAGATCAAACTATTCTCTACGAGTAAGGCTGATCTTGTTCCTGTGTTGCGTGGTTTGGGGTTACCATTCCCCAAGAAAGAAGAATCTGGACAACCAGTCCCAAAGGAGCAAGGATTCTGTTTGTTTGCATCTGTTTGTTTCATTTTGGCAATTCTTAATATGCTTTTAGAAAAACATGGATCTGAGACTGTTTTTTTATTTTAATGTCCTTGTGCAGCCTTAAAGTGTCTTTAATTTATATTTTATTTTTCTGTTGTCTACTGCTTGCAGAAAGGCGACCCTTAACTCTAAACTTGCGGGTCGCCTTTCTGCTTGCGTCTGGTGTTGGACACAAAACACAACTTTGGGATCATGTGCCCATCTAGATAAAATTTGAAGGGTTTGGTAGACGTGTTGAGAAATTTGGAGGGTTTTGAGAGATCAAGACGCCATTGATTCCTGAAACAAGTATATGGAGTCTCTCTTCTCTTCACCAATGTCATACACTTCCGCCACTTTATTTTATATGATGTTAAGGCTTTCGAGCATATTAGACATTCACTATTAAAGATTCTTAAAGGAAGACTCTACAAGAGTTGAAGAGTGTGATAGATGTGGGATCTAACATTATATTGCTTTCAAGTAAAATGAAATACAGTTAGGACATGGAGATGAAAACCTAAAACAAAGTATGATATGATATGCCAATAGCTCACAGCAAAACACCTGAAGATGAACAGCCACGTCACACCCAAACTAGCTAGACTCTCTTTTATAAAAAGTTTAGATCCTCTACATAGTCTATAAAGGCAGAAACACTATGACGATGCTCATAGTATTCTCCAAAACCTTGAATTTCAACACTTTGGAGAGTGTTCCTTTCCGGACTGAAGTAGAAAACATAATACGGTTTAGATGTATAGTCCTTCGACAACAGAATTTCACCTGTAGCAGTCACCCCAACGACGGAAATAGAATACCAGTCTTCGATTTTATCATCTTGCAAAGTGTAGACATATTCAGACCATTTCTGTTCCTCGACATCTTCTAGAACCCGCAAACACAACTTAAGGGTACCACTTCTATCAGCGCTATCATCATTCATAAAAATCCCACCTAATTTACCCTTATAGTTTATCAAATGATCATAAATAAAACATTCTTCTTCCATAACTTCAATGAATTTGAATTTCTCGGACCTAACATCAAAGCAAACTATCAATTCAGAAGTATCATGTTCAGCTACGTAATACAAAACTCCATTGATGCATATCCGTTTGGACCATGCAAGGTAAGGATAATGAGTTAAGGGACACTGGACCTTCCTCCAAGTCATTTCTTTAGTTCCTAATGTCCGAATTCTATGATCATCCTTAGCCACTGAAAATACCTTGAATTGTTTGTCAATTGGATCAAACCCTAAAAAGCTATATGACCCTCCATATGTTCTTAGTTCAGGTAAGCTCGCACATTGCCCTGTACTAGGGTTATATATCACATGCACTTTATATGAGAACTGTCTATAACGAAAAAGATCAAACCAGAGGCATATCCAATAGATTCCATCGACAAGTACTCGTCAGGGATTTTCACTCGAAAACCGGCTGCGACTACAAGAGAAGACTTCTCATATGGATTCTGAGGCTGAGGTGACGAGAAGAAGCTCCACCCGCGGCTTCCTTGGAGGAGGAATAAGAGACGTGGACGAGTCGAGGATGGTGAGGAACAAGTCGGTGAAATATGGATGATGAAGTTTGGAACCCCATAGTTTAGACAGACAACGAAACCTCACGATAGACTTTGAATGCAATCTCGAGAATATGTTGAGAACGAGATCAGTCGGGATGGAATCCATTATCGTGAGGAGATGTGTAAGAACTCTATATTAAGACCTAGAGAAGCCAACTTATATATCATGTGATAAGCAATAATAATACAAAAAAAAAGTATAACAAAAAAAAGGGTGGATCTTATTCAGGGTCGGCGCTAAAAAAGGCCCAACTTGATTTGTTTTTTTTGTAAAAAGGGTAAATTATTGTATAATTTGATTTGTATATGATGATTTTGGGGATGAAAAAAAATTGCCTCTCGCTTAGGATTTTCAAGATTATTCTATAAAAATAAGTGAAAATGCAATGTAACTAATACAAGGTTATTTGTTACAATAATAAACTAATACAAGGTTATGACCTTTTGAGTCATACAATTGCTAGAGTAGTTTAGAGAACTGCGTGTTCAGTTGGGAACAGTTACTAGCCAACTATTCAAAAGTCCATCGATTTATGTAACAGAAATTGAAAAGCCATATGTTTCCATCTTTGTTTTGGCTAGGATGTTGAGAAGATGTATAAAGTATCATAGATACTTATGAACAATCACCCAAAGCGCAGAGAAGAATCTCCCAAAACAATTGAACTTGCGCTCCTCTATGCATCATGATCGTGTTGTATTGACTGATCTGTGGAAGAGATACAATTATACGAGTACAAATCATTCAATATAGAGTCGGCGTTAAGCTAAGGCCTAAAAATCTGAAGTACACAAGGTTCAGACTAAGATTCCCCGGAAAAATGAGCAGGACGTAATCAACAAGATCAAAGACGATCAATACATCAAAAAGATTGGGCTCAAAATTAGGTTTCTCGACGCGACACACGTTGGAAATTTCTGCCAACCAAACTGGATATTACCAAACTTTGCGTAATGCATGGGAACTGTTGCATTGGACAAGATAACAAGCTCTGAGACAAGTTCTTGAGGATTGGACGACTTTTCTGTCCAACGAAGACCCTGAAAGAGGATTTCGACAGCCGATGAATTGCTGGAGAATTCCAAGGCGGAGGTCTTACAGAAGGAGAGGTTAATTTCGTTTCCGTGACATTGGTGGAAAGTAAAGAAAAATAGCCAAATGAAGAAAAAATATCATGTTCAAGAATACATTATAGTGTTTGGAGATTGTTCTTACTTGACCCATATATTATTAAACACATCAGATAAACAAATCTGAGAAATTTTTCTGGAATTCGTTTGATTCCATCGTTTCATAATTACATAAAACAGGCATAAGAATTTCTATCTGCTGGAACAAATCTTTCATTAAGAATTTTTTTCTTTAAAAAAGTATCATCTATCTAGAGTAAAAGATCCTACAACGTTTTGTTTTTCTTCGGATGATAATCATTCTTGATGCAAAGAAGTTAAAAGTGAAAAAAGTATCTTCAGGACAACGATCGTCGTCAAACCACGCATGGGATGATCAAAGGCTGGTTCAAGTAAGAACAATCTCACACTAATGGTTAGCACTCTATCTTGTTTCCCAAGCAACCCTTCCTAGCAGATCCTCTGTTTCTGAGCAGTTTATTTCAATACTCTTTTCTAAGCAGATTATTTCAATGGCTCTGTTGTTCTCCGACTTAGGTAGAATTGTTTTGTTCAGGACCTTCAGGTAATGAGTTGATTTGATTTCCCGTGAAATATTTTATAAATCGATCGTAGTATTTGCTTAGGCTAATTAACTGTTCAACACTATATATATGACGTTTTTTTTTTTTTGCTAATAACAATTATAATCTGATGGTATAGAGCCTGGAATAAGATTTTAGCTAAATTGCGTGAAGGGTTTGATCTCAGTTGACTTTATTTATTTTTGTTGACAATTGCGTGATGCATTGTCGATTTCACAAGCAAACAAGTGACTTTATGTTTCAGTTGTGATGTGTAAGGAATATAAATATTATGAGAACAACTTCAGCCCACATGAATAAAAAAAACTTAATTTCTTAAGATTTTGTTTTGTAACTTAGGGAAGCTATCGCTCAAAGGACGTATATAAAGCTTCAACTCTTGTCTCGGACTGAAACTGAACCAGGAGGGAGTATAAGTATGGAGTCTCTCTTCTCTTCACCAATGTCATACACTTCCGCCACTGTATTTATATGATGTTAAGGCTTACGAGCATATTAGACATTCACTATTAAAGATTCTTAAAGGAAGACTCTGCAAGAATTGAAGAGTGGTAATGTGAGATCAAACATTATATTGCTTTCAATTAAAATGAAATACAGTTAGAACATGGAGATGAAAAGAAAGTATGATATGCCAATAGCTCACAGCAAAACACCTGAAGATGAACAGCCACGTCACACTCAAACTAGCTAGACTCTACTTTAGAAAAAGTTTAGATCCTCTACATAGTCTATAGAGACAGAAACACTACGACGATTCGCATCAGAGTATTCTCCAAAACCTTGGATTTCAACACTTTGGAGAGTGTTCCTTACGGGATTGAAGTAGAAGACATAAATCGGTTTAGATTTATAGTTCTTCAACAATACAATTTCACCTGTAGCAGTCATTCCAACGACAGAAATATAATACCAGTTGTCGATTTTATCATCCCGCAAAGTGTGGACATATTTAGACCATTTCTGTTTCTCGACATCCTCTAGAACCCACAAACACAGCTTAGGGATACCACTTCTATCAGCGTTATCATTCTTCATAAAAATCCCACCTAATTTACCCTTATAGTTTATCAATTCATCATAATAAAAGCATTCTTCTTCTTCAATGACTTCAATGAATTTGAATTTCTCGGACCTAACATCAAAGCAAACTATCAATTCAGAAGTATCATTGACAGCCAAGTAATACAAAACCCCATTGATGCATATCCGTGTGGAGTAAGGACAATGGGTTAAGGGACACTGGATCTTCCTCCAAATCATTTCTCCAGTTCCTAATGTCAGAATTCTATGACCATCCTCAGCCACTGACAATATCTTGAATTGCTTTTCAATCGGATCAAACCCAAAAAAGCTATGTGACCCTCCAGGCATTCTCAGTTTAGGCAAGCTTGCACATTGTCCTGTACTAGGGTTACATATCAAATGCACTTTATATGTATACCCTTCTGAGGTTTGTGTATAACAAAAATAGATCAAACCAGAGGCATATCCAATAAATTCCATCGACAAGTCTTTAGGGATCTTCACTCGAAAACCGGCTGTGACTACAAGAGAAGACTTCTCATATGGATTCTGAGGCTGAGGCGACGAGAAGAAGCTCAAACTGCGGTTTCCTTGGAGGAGGAATAAGAGACGTGGACGAGTCGAGGATTTGATGAGATAAAAGTCGGTGAAGTATGAATGATGAAGTTTGGAACCCCATAGTTTAGACAGACAACGAAACCTCACGATAGACTTTGAAGGCAATCTCGAGAATATGTCGAGGACGAGATCAGTCGGGATGGGATTCATTATCGTTGTTGCTGTATTTCCTGACCGGTCGAAAAGAGATTTGTAAGAACTCTATATTAAGACCTAGAGAAGCCAACTTATATATATCGTGTGACATTGACAACGACAAGTCGTGACAAGTAATAATAAGAAAAAGTAAAAAAAAAAACGGTGGATCGTATTCAAGGTCGGCGCTAAGAGCACCTCCATTGGTGTTACTCACCTTGTGTCTCTTAAGAATATTTTAGTGTTATTTTTAGGGAAAGAGAAAAAGTTTAGAGAATCATGTATTTGGGGTGTCCATTAGTGTTATCTTATTGGTGTCTCTTAATAATAAAATAATAATTTTTAAAAAAAAAACAATTTACATAATTTTTTTAATTTTTACTAATGTTATTTAAAATGATATTTAAAGAAATAGTAAATTATTTTACAATACTAAAATTTTAAACATACAACTTATTGAAAAAAAACATAAAACGATACAATTTTAAGACATAGAACTTATTGAACAAGAAAACATCAAATGTAAATTCAATTTGTGGTTTAGCCACCAAATTTGTTCCAAATATGCTCCATCAAATCAGCTTGCAAACGTTCATGTATTTTTTTATCACGAACTTCGTTCCGATTTCCGATCATATTGTTGATATTTGTAGACATATCCGTAGAATACGTCATATCAACGTGTGACGATCTGGTTCCGTCTGGTTGTTGGAATCCTGAAATATCATACAAACTGCGGTTACCTCGTTCGTTTACCACAATCATATTGTGTAATATGATGGATGCCCTCATAATCTTTCTAATCTTTTCCTTATCCCAGATGAGTGCTGGATTTTTAATAATAGCAAATCGGGCTTGGAGAACCCCGAAAGCACGCTCGACATCTTTCCGGACGGATTCTTGATGTTTAGCAAACGTTGTTGCTTTCTCATCTTGTGGAAGGTGAATGGATTGTATAAAAGTTGCCCATTTCGGATAGATACCGTCGGTGAGGTAATAAGGCAACTTATAGTTGTGACCGTTGACAGTGTACCTCACTTTTGGAGCTCGACCTTGTAATATGTCATCAAACACAGGTGAACGGTCAAGCACGTTTATATCATTCAAAGTACCTGGAGGCCCAAAGAATGCATGCCATATCCAAAGATCGTATGATGCAACAGCTTCTAATACGATTGTCGGTTTTCCTGCACCACGTGTATACTGGCATTTCCAAGCGGTAGGACAGTTCTTTCATTCCCAATGCATACAATCAATGCTTCCTATCATCCCGGAAAAGCCACGTTCCTCTCCAAAAGGTTGTGTACCAAACACAGGCACTTGTGATGATCCAAGGTCAATGATCTGGCTCGTTAAAAGGTTTACAAAACCTTCGGTTGGACCATAATGGTTTTCGGATTCCATTATGGAGTGAAGTTAGTGTTTTAGAAGAAGTTTAGATAGATTGTTGTGAAAGTTGCTGTGTTTTAAAGAGATAGAAGTTTACTGTTTTAGTTTAAGGGTTTATGATGGGTTTTTAAGAGTTAAAAGTCATTTAATATCACACACCTAATAAGCATTGATTACTAGAGTAAACCGTTCATAGAAGTTAACCTCATCTATGCATTGAACACTACAGCCATTTATTACCAACCATCCTACGTAACTAAAAAATTAATTACATAGGAAAAAGATGACTAACCTTGCATAAAAAAGGGTCGGTTGCAGAGCCGGTTGCAGCTTCTCCATCTTCTTATTGTCCCATCATGTTACCCTCGTAAAACAAAACCAAAATAATTATCAATGTTAAAACCTATCAATGGAAATAACTACACCAACAACTTATCAATGGAAGCTTTAACTTGTTCACCTAACAAAAAGCAACGGTGCATTTAACACAAAACAAGATTAAATGGGCACTCAACCATAAAATAAACTACAAATTAAAACAACAAAGGTCACACCATAGCAACCATATAATGAACCCGATTACAAGCAACCGAATTGGTAAATAATTCACATAGCTCATTGACACCATATAATGAATTGTATATGGCTTGTTGATCGATATCATACCATAGCTCATTCACAACTCTCTTTCATTTACACGTTAATAATGAAACATATTAGAAGAACACAATCAAACGATGCTCATGACCCATAGAGATGATGAACACAATCAATAAAAAAAACACAAACTTGATCATTCGTAAGCCAAACAACACAAACAAAAAATTTCACCAAATCGACTGATCTTTCGTAATACCTAGTCCTAAACGATATCACAAGCCAAACAACACAAACCGAAACAAAAAAAAATTGAAATTTTTGTCCCCAATTCCACGAACCTTAATTTCACAAAGTCGATTAACAAAATTAATCTTCAATCGGTGTCAATGATTGCTACGAAGTCACGCACACACCTATTGTGTTCGAAACCACCCTAATTCAGATCAATTAAACGGAGTAAATCATTTCCCCCAAATCGACGAACCCTAAAAAAATTTCCCCAAATCGACGATTCTCGAGTCAACCTAAACAAGAAGCAATTACGAGAGTGGAATCTTACCTTGCATGTCGATTGGTGTCATCATTTGTAGAGGGATTAAGACGCTGCCGTGTCGGACCGACGATTTCAGCTCCGGCGAAGAAAATCGCCATCGAGAAAGAGAGAGAAGTGAAAGAGTCGAAAAAAATTTCTAAGTCCACGAAATGATTTCCCAAACAAAAAAATTAATAAAAAAAAAAATTTTACAAAAACCTGGCCAATCATCACTCTCTACGTGGCGTTAGAGACAGCTCCTTCATTTCTTATCTAAGGAGCGATCCGTGACATTTTGGGCTTAAAACATTTTTATAAAATGAGTTTTACCTAGGTTTTTGGGCCAATTTTTGTCTAAAGAGCACCAATGGAGGTGCTCTAAAAAGGCCCAACTTGATATGATTTTTTTTTTTTTGTAAAAAGGGTAAATTATTGTATAATTTGATATATATAATGCTTTTGGGGATGGAAAATAATTGCCTCTCGCTTAGGATTTTCAAGATTATTCTATAAAAATAAGTGAAAATGCAATGTAACAATACAAGGGTATTTGTTACAATAATAAACTAAGACAAGGTTTTGACCTTTTGAGTCATACAATTGCTAGAGTGGTTTAGAGAACAACGTATTCAGTTGGGAACAGTAACTAGCCAACGATTCAGAAGTCCATCGATTTATGTAACAGAAATTGAAAAGTCATATGTTTCCATCTTTTGGCTAGGATGTTGATAACATGTATAAAAAGTATGATAAATACAAATGAACAATCACCCAAAGCGGAGAGAACAATCTCCCAAAAATATTGAACTTCTCTTCCTCTATTCATCATGATCCTGTGTTATATTGGCTGATCTGTGGGAGAGATAACTGTTCAAAACTATATATAAATCTGACGTTTTTTTCATGCTAATTACAACTAAAATCTGATAGCATGTACATAGCATTGAATAATTTTTTTAATTGGGTGATAGGTTTGATGATCTCGACTTGATTTTATTTATTTTTGCTGATAAAATGGTATGTATGCATTGTCAATTTCACACAAGTGAATTTATGTAAATATAATGAAAACAACTTAATTTCTTGAGATTTTCTTTCATAACTTTGAAGCACTCAAACCGGTAACCTCTAGAGGACTCAGTCAGTACTCACTGGTTAGCAATTTCTCTTAAGGACAGGAATATTGGCAGTAGATGGTTTGAAGGCAGCCAAAGAAGCTGGAGCACGAGGAAGCATTTCACCGAGGCATGTACATTTAAACCATCACCAAGAAGCTTAGAGCTTAAAAATTTGGTTTTGGAAAACGATTTTAAACTTTTTTAAAAAAAATTAAGTCTGAGCTTTTGTCAGTTCTCATAAAAAAAAAGCCTAAATTTTGTTTTCTGTTTTCTGTTTGTTTGATTCTACTTATTTAGGTCTCACTGACTAGATTCAAAATCAAGTTTTCCAAAGTGTTTTGTGAATTTTTCTAAGTTCTAATTGTAGATTCCATCGTCTCAACAATTCTGTTTACGTAAAGTCCTCATAACAATTGTTTCTTATCTTCTTTGTTCAGATGCAGTTGTTGCAAATATCATTCAAGAAACCAAAGAAATTAAAAACTAAGTGAACATTTAAGTTTTACGAATTCAAATTGACTCTTGGCACACTCTTCAAGTATGTAAACAGCATGCATTATGCTCTCCTTTTTTTGGGTGAAAATTTTAAACACAGATTTATGATAAACATATTAGTTAGCTCCCAACTCCCAAGTAAAAGTCTAACATAATCAGAAAAAGAACATGATAACCAGAAAGAACAAAATATGAAAATACAACAGAGTGGTGAGGTTCACACGAAACTTGTAAATGAGAAGTGATCACAAGCACTCACAGGGAAAACAAGGTAGACTCTTGTAAATGAATTTGGCTTGGCCTCCAACAACAATATCAACATCTATTCTCACTCTAGTTTAGCTAATAGATCGTACCTTTTCAGCAGGACGGTTGTCGGCTGCTTGTTCTTCTTGCGAGTTTTTGTGGTTTTGGTAGTTTTGGCCTTTCGCCTGATGATACGTAAGCAATGGCTTGACTTGAGGTACTTTGCATCGTTAACACCTCTACATAGTCTACAAAGGCAGAAACGATATGAAGATTCTCATGATAGTATTCTCCAAATCCTTGGATTTCAACTCTCTGGAAAGTTTTCCTTTCGGGATTGAAGTAGAAAACAAAAAATGGTTTAGATCTAAAAGTATATTTCTCTGTCAAAACAATTTCACCCTTAGCAGTCACTCCAACGACAGAAGCATAGCTGAGATCAATGCTTTTATTCCCTGGCAAAGTGTAGACATAGTTCGACCATTCCTGTTTCTCCACATCCTCTAGAACCCACAAACACAGCTCAAGGGTATTACTATGGCCATCACCGTTCAGTTTAATCCCACCTAATTTGCCCTTATAGTTTACCAATATAGTGTAAAAGCATTTTGGCTTAATGAACTTAAATTTCTCAGACCTAACATCAAAACAAACTATCACATCAGACACACGAGACGTGCTAGTCGAAGCTAAGTAATACAAAACTCCATTGATACAGATCCCTTGAGAGTAAGGATCATGTTTGAATGGATATTGGATCTTCCTCCAATTCATTTCTCCAGTTCCTAACGTCAGAATCATATGATCATCAGAACAACCTAGATGACCCATAGACAATACTTTGAATTGTTTGCCAATCGGATCAAACCCTAAGAAGCTATAAAACTGGTTGTACCTTGTCAACTTAGGTAATGTCGCATACTGTCTCGTTCTAGGGTTAAATATCACAGGCACTAGTGCATCTTCACCCTTCTTTTGTGAGATACGCATGCCAGAGAAGTAGATCAAACCAGAAGCAGGGCCACGAAATTCTGTAGGAAACATGTCTCTAGATAACTTGACATGAAAATCGGCAGATAGAGAAGACTTCTCGTATGGATTATGAAACAGAGGCGACGAGAAGAAGCTCCACTCTCTCTCACCGTCTCGTTTGAGGGCGAATAAGAGACGTGGACGAGCACATGACCTTGTCAAGAACAACTCTGTGAAATAGTGACGATGAAGCATGGAACCCCATAGCTTCGAGAGGCTACGAAACCTAGCAGCTGACTTTGCTGGCAATCTCGAGAATATCTCGATAGTGAGATCAGTCGTGACGGAATCTGGAATCTCTCTTCCTCTTTTCGTTTTTTGGCATTGAATCTTCTCTCTTCCTCTCTTCATAATGATCGTTGTATTTGCTGAGCGTAGGGAGAGAGAGATACTAAGTACAAATCATTCGCAGAATCATAGAGTCGGCGCTAAACCTAAGACACCAAAATATGAGATTAGCGTACCAAAGTCGGTATAAAGTATCCAATAAAATACCAGTTCCGGTATGCATAATATTGAGTATTCTTTTTTTTTTTTTCCCGGCTAACATTTTATAGAAGAAAGTCAGTTTTCGAGCAGATTACTTCAATCCTCTGTTTTTGAGCGGATTTCAATGCTTTGTTGTTCTTCTTCGACATAGGTAAGATTGTTTTGTTCAGGTAATGAGTTGATTTCCCCAGTGAACGAATATATACAAATCGATTGTAGTATTTGCTCACAACTCCAAAGTAACGTGTAACACAATTAATTAGGACATGAACATGATAACCAGAGTGAGCGAAGTATGATAAAGCTCACATGAAACCTGTCAACGAAAAGTCACACATATTACTCACAGACACAGCCAAAGTAGCTACTAGCTAGACTCTATGTTATAAATATTATTAAGACAACTTAAGCCAACATGAATTAAAAACCTAGTTTCTAATTAAGAATTTACCAAAATTAAGAATTTCTTTGGTAACTTGATGTTTGCAGAGAGACTCGCTTTA